GTTATTCCGTTCCCAGTCCAAATGTGTTCTTCAAAAGTGCCCTCATGATAGCACGAGTGAGAATATGCAATGATATGACTTCCACATAGACTAGGTATTCACATCATGGCAAATCCACAGCTTTGTGATCAGACCTATTATTCTAATAAAAAAGAAAACTGCTCTTAATGCCGACCTAGACAATATTCCTGCAAAATTTCCTCTCTATTTGCATAGTCGGCTTATCTATTTTCCATAGTGTACCCTTTGGTCTCCTTCTTTTACTTGCTTTGTCATATGGTTAGACGGACTAGATTAAGTATACATGTGTTAATGTACACATGTTCTGCTTTTGACCCAAAAACTGCAAAGCTCGAGCAATTCGTTCCGAAATGTTCATTTATACCAAAGTTTGCACAAAAATTAGGGATCAAAAAGGTCCTGACCAAACAGAAAATGAAACTAGTGAGTGATGATCAATAATATACTGATATTATACGGCTAAGTTTGTTGTTGCTCTGGTTTTATTGTCCGAACTAAAGCGTCTATGTTGATTCAGAACTAACCACGAACAATTCCGAATTTAATCCAATGAATGAGACGTATTTCTTTCAGTAATAAAGACGATGTGGAAAGAAAATGCTTAAAGAACGTAAAATGAGTGTTCAACTCCACGTATTTTGGATCCTACAGCCATTAGCACACTTCCTCTCTACTTAGAATCGTCTTAAATGTCATGTCTTGTGACTATATTTACGATTGATTGGTATCTGAACGAACTAATTAGACAGAAGCAATTGCATCCCTTTAATGCTTGTTAAAGAACCATGATGGTTGATTAAAATCTTGTTCGGTTAGTCGTTTTGTTTGAGCTTAGCCGTTAAGTTCGATTGGTAATCAATATTTCAATATGGCAATACATGTGGGAGTCGACCAATGGACAAAGTGAATGAATTAGTTGCCATGCGTCATGTTGCTAGTCGTCACGATAGATGAGTCAGCATAGAGAATGATGTGACTTCCACATAAGATCTTATAGATTACGTAGTTACATAGTGGCATATCTACAATCTTGCGATTAGTTCTATCACAGTAGTGCAAGTACCAAACTAAAGCATGAAAATACTGAGTCCTTCGTATGTTTTTTCCGGATATTATCAACACCACTCAACAAGGGAGAAAACCACATTTTCAGAAGTGATGTCTTTGATGTATACTGTTTCTGGCTATCGAATGAAACGTCTACAGACGCTAAGATGTAAGGGTATCTGTTTGAATCTGGTAACGGTCCTACCAAATCAAGATAAACATGGTAGAAATGAGTTTCGGCAGTCTTGCGAGAGTTTAAGAGACCTTAGGTTCTGTTTAGTCACCTTTGATTTCTGGCAGTTTATTATGGAGTGTGACCAATCCCTCACGTCTTTATTCATTCCAGGTCAACAAAATCTTTCTGAGATGAGACTGATGGTTGCTGGAACACCTGGATGAGAAAGTTTGTACAATGTTTCGAAGACGTCACGTCGATAATGTTTCGATACTACTGGACAATCCCTGCCAGTATGTGTTACATAGCAACATTTTCACACCCGTTCCCATCTGTTTGATCTACAGAGGCTAATTTCCCCTATATCTGACTTCAATAAATAATATCCCGTTAACTGAGTACTTAATGCAGGCTAAATCTCCTAGTAGAATTGTGGGTTTACTGGAGATTATTCAAAAGCCTGGACACCAGTTATAGAGATAGTTTATTGTTAAAGATTGGTAAAATCCGCAAGCGTACGGAGAGCAGGCACACAGCGCAAACGAGTAAGTATGTATGTGTATGAGTGCTAAATATCCATATATATTTATGAGTTTTAATCAAGTGTGGATACATTATTGGTTGTCTGTGTATTACAACCAATGGGAGAGTAGATTGAAGATTGATGTGTAGACGTGTGCTCAATCAGACTCACACAGAAATTCACATAGTGGATTAAGTGCCTAAATTACAGTAAGCAGATAAATAATACAGTGGTTGAATGGGCTTACTATAGATTCGTAGTTTTCAGGGTTGTCAAACATAACTTTTTATGAGGATAAGTTTCTCCATTTTGGAACTGGTGGAGTTTAAGTTCAAGTCCTTGGAGACCGTTCATGGAAGTTGTACGCAACGAGGCGTCTGCTGCTATATTTTTTGCTACAGAAATATGTATATCTAGAGTAAACCTCGAAATATATTCTGGCTATCGAGAATTACGAGTACGTGTATGAAGACGAGCTTAGAGAGAAGATAAGAGGTTTATTGCCGGTAAACAGAGAGAATTCTGGACCTTCCACAAAGTGTTTAAATTGCCATAGGGTGTAACACATGACCACGTGTTCTCTGCAGAAAAGGCCCTACTTCGATTTAGTGTCTTTCAGCTGTCTCAAGAGTAATGCCAAATATTTTCAGTCACTGTTTGTCCTTTGTTGTAACACTTCTCCAACTGTCTAAACGCATATTCCCAGTTCGATAACAACGGATGCCATGATGTCCTAGAGTGCGAGCAATGTTGCTTTTGCGATAATTTCATTACCTGTGGAGAACGTTCTTTATCGATTTAATCCAAGTTTATGAGTCCCGCATTTCCATGAAGTTGGTCTGTTAAGGGTTTTATGGAAGACGCGCAATTCTGTATGGACCGTCCATAGAAAACTATCAAGCCGTTGAACGTGCGTAGTTGCTTGACGGTGAACGATTCTGGGTAAATCGGAATGGCCACCAATTAGATTTCCAGAGGGCGACTGCCTTGAACATCAATAGTATATTCGAGGAAATCAAAGGAGTCAGATCCAGGTTGACATTTTAGAATGTTTACAGTAATACCCTGCTTTTTCAGTTGTATTAAAACAATGTCCAGATACTGTAGACGAGTTTCTCTGTTCGGAATCGCAATCAAGCAGTCATCTACATACACATGCAAGAAGTTTCGACCTCGAAAAACGTCATCGATGAATCTTTGGAAAAGTTGTGTAGCACTGCTTAAACCAAAAGTCACGCTCAAAAATTCGTAGAGTCCGAAGGGAGTGATGATAGCCATTTTATGTGTGTCTTCCACAATAACAAGAATTTGGTTATATGCTTTAACCGGGTTGAAATTTGGGAAATCTTTTTTACTTTATTATGGTAGTTTTCAGGTCGTGGGTGTTCGGCGAGGGATAACGATCGTGAGTGGTCATCGCATTTAGTCGTCGTTCATCATCAACTGGATGCCAGTCGTTGCTGTTCTTTTTAGGGACCGTGTGCAACGGAGATGCCCACAATACTGTTCGATGGTCGAATAATTCCTAGGTTTATCATGTGATCTATTTCGTTTTTGGACAACCTTAGCTTTTTGGAAGGCAGTCGGCGCGCTTCCGAAAATGCAGATGGTACTGTGGTCGTCATGTGGTGTGTGACATTACTGGTTACTCTGTGTTCACCGGCCACGGTTACTGTTGACGTATGTTGGCTGGTAATTTTCCCGTGAGCTTTTTCATGACGGAAAGTCTGAGGAACTACGTGGCTTTCTACAATTTCTGGAAGACATACCGTGGATGTTCTGGTGCCACCATCAATCATAGTTATCTATCTCTCATGGTCTAGATACAGATCTTTCATATCACGGGCATTTTAGGCAGCATTCGTGATTATGATGAACATTGAGATAACGAGTTATATTATAACAAAGGTCTTCGGTGTCAATTTGTGTTGTCTGAGGCTTTTTTGACAGAACAAAAGTCGACGCTTATGGCTCTAGTGATCTCCAGAACCCGTCGACAGATGAAGCCAGTTCGTCTATGGCGTTATTGTGGGATGAAATAAGAACCGCCTGGACCTGTCGGGATAACTTCAACTCGGGGAGCTTTCTAAGCAGACCCTCATTAAATATCCGTTGATCAATGACCCCTCAAATTCGTAGAAATATTCCTATTGCCGAGCCATTTTGTGACTCTACGTCCTGGAAAAGTTGGTCTAACCTTTGTCGATGTTTAAGAATAGCCTACTTTAAAGTGTCGTAAGTCCCCGAAACATCACCGGTGAACATAATTAGTGTGACATAACCGGTAGAATAGATTGGTAGTGCCTTGACTGCACCAAAGAACTTTAAAAGAGGGTTTGTCACACCGTGCTCGAGAAATTTAGCTCTTGGGTAGCAGAACTAGGTTTCTATATCATCGGGGCAGAATGGCATGATTTGAAAGGTGAGGGGTGAAATAATCAAAATTTGAAACAATTCAGGTTTTCGTTCCGCCATAATGAAGATAAAATATGTCAGTGGTTAAAAGAATATATCCCAAAATAAAATAACGACACTACCATTTGAAAAAGTAAAAAATGAAAATATATAATTTTTACAGCAAGGAACGGATTCACTGTATACGGATTGAAACGCCAGATCACGTCAGGCTCACCACTGAAGATTCCAAATGTATCCGGAGTTCGACAACTTCTCTTTACGTAAGACTTTTATAATTAGAGTATACAAACTCAGTCAGATCAGAAGTGAGAAATAAAGTGGTTCTAAGCTGACCATCAGTCACAAGGAGGAGCGTGGCACGACGTACCCACTCGTGACCTGGCGCAAATGTGTGATCGAGCGCCTTCGGTTAGGGTTTTCCAGTAAAGCTGATGTGGTCGACATCACTGTTGAAAACTTAACGAACTATCTATTTTGAGGACTTATTGACCCCTACATACGTGATAACTCACAACATCTGGTAACTGAAATACCCAGAACCCTGTCAAGTATCACTTTTCTTCTATTCCACAAAATAAAGTTTACAAGGACACTTTAAAAAAGTTCACAAACTCAAAATAAATTAGTTTACAAACGACTATCAACTTTCCTATTGGAACCTATAGGTCGATATGTGAATGAAGCTCCATCTTTTGATAAATCCAAAAGAAATTTGGGTTATCTGAGAGACTAACATTATCAGGACTCACACAGGCCATAAAGCATCCTGTCTTTCCAAATCAAAACTGAAACTTATACATTGTACACCAGCCCGCCATTTCGGAGCCAGGACAAAAGCTTCTTCTGGAAGAAATCCGTTTGGGTTGTATCAAGGTAAAATTATCTGCATGGTGTTATATATTCAAGTCAGAGAAGTCGTTAAGCAAATAAGATTTTCCGAGAAGTGGTTATTCATATGACTTCTAAGAGGCTACCCGCTGACACTTGCGACAGGCCGCTCTACAAAATAGTGGTTGTAGGTGATGGAGGTGTTGGAAAGTCTGCACTAACAATCCAGGTAACAAAACCAGATGTACATTACGCCACTTAGTACTTCCAGAGAATGTTTCTTGAAGAACACGATCCTACAATCGAGGACTCATACATCCAGAACGCTGAGATCGATAACGAGTTGTGTATGTTGTATGGTAAGTTCTTAGATTTTATTATCTCTCATGTGTATGGCATGACAATAAGTTTCCTTTTCTTGTCTTTTTGGGACAGAAAAACAAGGGAATATCTGGATCAGAATCATTAGCTACACCACTTGTAACGAAAGATATTATGTGCCTGTAAATTTACTATGATACTGCAAATTTATCGACGATTTTGCGCCATTTTATGTTCACACTCCATCAAGCACTACTTACTACATCTATTGTTAGCAATGAATTTGCAAATGTCAACGATATAGTATGTATCATAAGAGAAATAAGTTAGGCTAATAGCGTTTATGTTGAGCTTTATAAGCTTCTGTAAGCATCTTTGTATACCAAGTAGTTAGGTATGGGTATGACCAGTTACCATGACCATTAGCAAGTATTTATAATTGGTGCTATGGTCTCAAAAAATTGGCTACTACATGCTTTGCGAATGTGACAGCAACCCCATACTCTGCGTTGTTTGCCGACACAGGAATAAGTGACAGAAACGAGTGGTCGGTCTATGATAGCATCACTGTTTGGAAGATAACTGTATGGGTAGCAACTGTTGATCCGTTACGTCTTCGTCTGGGTTCTAATTTCCGTGGGACTCAGTAACTTAACGCATTTCCAGAGATTGCTCAGACTGGAATCCAGTGATGATCCAACTGTGGCTCTTAGTCATAAGAAAGAGAAACGCGTTTTAATACGAGAAGTTTCTCATGATCGCATTTCAACTGGATTATCCTCTCCGCATGGGACATCACTTCTGTCTACTTATTAGTTGAACTTTTGGCTTTTTTATTGTTCTGTGTCAAATATTGTTACCTATTCGTTCGGTCCTCTGTTGTGCCAAATTTACTTACGAATGAAAATGGGCGATAAACAATGATGGGGACGAAATCGATTATTGAATATATATAGTTTTATCAAAGAACTTAAATATAGAACAACGCGTGTTTAGTAAGACTCATAGAATAATACAAACGTGTGTTCTCGGGCCCGACCACTGTAGTAACATGTGAAGCTCTTGTAGCGACCATTAAACTGCTGTCCAGCGGCACACTGCCTACCAACAACGTAGGTCGACTCTGAACTGAATTTTTCGAGTTGGCGTGCCTGTAAATAAGAGTGAAGATAACCAAAAGTTCTTGAGGTCCTTAAGATGATTGTGCGTCGTTCGGTGACATGGTTTGAAATCGGCTACGGTGACGAAATTTTTTTATCTTCCCTCTTCATTCTTTCTATTCCCTAATTACGAACCATTCATGTTTACTGTCTAACCTCACTAATATTATCTTTGCCCTGACTCATGTTCTATATCTCTTAATTGCTCCATCTCTGATGCAGCACGACAACCAGTAAATGCATATTTGTATCAGGTTTTGGTCGTTTATGACTGGTTGATTAAGGATGGTGTTCTGAAATATTTTTTGAACGAACTGAAATGCTAGTTGAAATCGGGAAACGAAAAGTGTTTCCGTCCGGTTGTTTATATACTTATTTAAACAAGTATTGGCACCGGAAGGTACCAATTATGTATGCGTCACATTTCGTCATTCGATATGTGTGAGGGCTAAATACTGCATGGGTGTTCAAACCGAAGCAGGATTCCATCCGATTAATTTCCATTGCTGGTCATCCAAGTTCATAAAGACAAAAAATCTCTGAGGAGTCGGTTTGATTAAAACGTTTCCCGGGATTCCAGCTACTGTTATTATTTTAGGTTATACTGCTGTTCATAAGCAGCCAAAAACGTAATCTGTATTCTACCCATCCTCAGATTATAAAAGATATCTACCATTTTGGGACTATCCTCGTATTCATCTACCTGAAGATATTTAAGTCGATCAAAAGAGCTTATGACAATCTGTGCTATTTAAAAAATCATCGAGTAAGTAACTAACACTAATGGCTTCTTACTTAAAAAGTTATGGTCAGGTTGTAATATATAACAGTCTGTCGTTATAAGTAACCAGGTTTTTATGTCCGATTTCCAAACTTCTATTCAACAAGACCATATATATCCTACTAGAGGCGATACCTTTTTGTATGACTCAAAAATAAATCTTAAACTAAGATTCATCGAGTCCGAGTAAACAATAGGCGTCTTGTTTAGTAAAGATCATGAAAAAATACACCTAGTATTCTGTAAACGCTGATTGCGATGCCTAAAGGTTTGTAATATGACTCACCCTTTAAACTGAGATCTCTCCAAAACCTGTTGGAATCAGAAACTAGAGTAGTAAAAGGGAGTGAAGCAATTGAGCTGATTGACCTCCTTATATAGTAATAGTAATCTCCTTACCAGATGTTTCATGTTTTAGTTGGTTGGTGTCCTGCAAAATGCCTTCCTCAATACAAAATGTCCACTTGTCCACCTTATGTAGGTATGATGTTTGTCTGTTTGCCAACGCCCACGTATATTGCGCTTACATTCACTATTATGCAAAATTGAAGCATAACGCCTGAGAGTATAAGAAAATGTTGTAACCCATTTACCAAATACAGGTTCGTGTACTCGGGTTCGAGTCACTTTTTGTATTAGGGCTAGTGATAATGACCGGCTACCCAAACTGAAGTTGGTAGTTTATTATTTATTTACTTTAACACATAAATATCGGCAAAAAGAGGCACCAAATACATATGCGCCACACAAATCTCATTCGATATGTGTGAGGGCTGTGATACTGCCCGGGTGCCCAAACTGAACCAGGTAGTTTTCTTAGGGGATCACTCCCCGAGCCTTCGACCTGAAGGTCTGATCCACAAGGCAGTGGAGCATCGTAAGGAGATGCAGTCCCATGGGAGCCGTTGACCAATAATTGGTTCATACGCCATCAGGATACTGGAGCCCATGTGCACCATTAATTTGGTTTGGGATCCGTTTAAAGCGCCGGACATTCGCTTTTCGTTCTCCCATTTTAGTAAACAACACCCCCGCCACGAGCGGATCTTGAACCTGTGGCCTAACTGATGTAAACCATGTTTCCATTAGAGTAATGGAAACATACAAAAGACAAATAGTAGATCACAAGTGTCTGCAAAGCACCGCTTGTATGTAATGGAACCATTAAAGTATTACTGATGTCATAAGCAGAGTACTATGTAAGTGTAAGATTTATTTATGAAAACTTAATCGTAATTATACACAAAATGAAATCAGTTCATGAATTTAGAGGCTAACGATTAAACTAATGGAATGCAGATTTCATGTTTTACGTTTATTAGTTAACGACTATAATCTAGGATTGAAAACCATAGCACAAATGGCTAAACCTCACTATTACATCCTCAAATTTTCATACTGCATTAATCTGTGGCATTTTTGTTTTCATCCGCTTGTTGTCCGTCTAGTTTTCCTCCTTAAATCTTAATATTTTCGTTTGGTTATTTTAGCTGTTAGTTTCCTCTCATCATACTGATGGAAGTGTGGTAATGTGGGCTGATAAAAAATTCACAATGTCCCACGTTATCAATATCTCTTCTACCTCCAGTTAATCCTATCTATTGTACCCTTTTTATTTTGGTTATTGGTTAGATATCTCACACACATTTAGGAGTGATTGATTGTATAGGATCTGATGTAAATGACTCACCTCTTTTGAACAACAACAGCGATAATCCAGATTTATTTAAGACCTCGACCTCATTTAAAAATAATGGAGATTAATAAATGAATCCAACGTTTTTCCTGTTTGTTTCCAGTACTGGATACTGCAGGACAGGAGGAGTTTAGTGCGATGCGAGAGCAGTATATGCGCATAGGTCAAGGATTTATCATTGTATACTCAGTGACAGATCCTCAGAGTTTTGAAGAAGTCCAGAGATTTCACAAAGAAATTTCACGGTGTAAAGACTGTGGTTCTTATCCTATGATATTGGCAGCAAATAAGATTGATTTGTCTCAACAACGCCAAGTTTCGGAAGAAGAGGGTAAACGTCTAGCCACTTACCTCCAAGTAATTTTTTTTATTTTAAACTGTATCTTTATTTCAATCATTTCTAATTATACACAACTACTCAACTGTAGTATTATTTCGTGTAATATTGCACTCGATATAGCTTTCTCCATAGGAGCAACCAAGTAACTTATCGTTTAGTCGGGAAACCATTATAGGTCATCTAGTAAACGATAGCTGCATATGTCATTACTGCTTTAGCCAGTATATCTTGTAATACATCATACCAATTAAAGGATAAGTTCTCTGGTTTTGGCAAATCCACGTGTATTTACGTATTCAACTGCTTCCGTGGAGAAAGCTATATCGGGTGTCCAACTAAGCAACTGAGTCAATGAGTTAGTGTACACCCTTTGTAGTTAGTAAAGGGCATGACCAAAACAATAGGGAGCTTTGTTGTATCATACTGACTGGCTGTTGCTCAATTTTTGATTGATTGGTTTCGCCATGTGTATGCGAAAGCCCCCAAATGCCCTGGTATGGCCGAGAGTGGTGTGGGCCAGCCCTCCCTCTCGAAATGCTCTCACATGGTCACACGTATATAGCCTCTGCCAGGGAAGTCCTACTCATTGCCTTCTCGTGGCGGGGGTGTTGTTTACTAAAATGAGAGGACGAAAAGCGAATGTCCAGCGCTTTAAACGGATCCCAAACCAAATTAATGGTGCACATGGGCTCCAGTATCCTGCGTTAACGAATAGTGCATGAACCGATCATTGGTCACCGGCTACCATGGGACTGCATCTCCTTACGATGCTCCACCGCCTTGTGGGTCAGACCTTTTGGTCAAAGGCTCGGGGTGTGGTCCCCTAAGGAAACCCTTTGCGTCGGTTTGGGCACCCGGGCGGTATCACAGCACCCACACACACAAATGTGGTGTGGCGCATATATATTTGGTGCCCTCTTGTACCAATATTTATGTGTTGAAATAAATAAATAAAAATAATGCGAAAGTTGAAATCCTGTTCAGGTTATTTGAGTAAGATACAAAGGCAGCGACAATTAACAATATGTCAATTGTGCAGCTAATCTGTTTGGCGTTATTTGCTTCGGAAATTTTTTTGCGACGACCGAATATAACACTTTTAGTATTCATCCAAGTTATATGTAAATAATTTTCACGAAATCTACTAATTTGTTATAAGTGGGAGATGTATAAAATTCACAGCGTGTACACTGGCTAGCATAGAATTAGTTCCTAAAGAGTCTACAAATAACTAAATAAAGACATCTCATTAATACACATTGCTCGTGACTTAGTCTATTTAGTGTTATTTATTTAACTAATTTTCGCATCATATCAGATTTCCGTGTTAATATTAGCTTGGTCAGTCGATGATTAATGCATTGAATTAATGCGTACATTCGAATGTGAATTCATGCATTATGCATCAGGAAATATTTCCAAATCTTTTTAGTAACTATAAATGGAAGAGATAAAATAAAAATCTGTCACCATCTATATCAAATGACTACAAATTGGAATGTCATTTTCCTAATTCATTCCATCAATGTAAGTACAAATTGTAAGTTGTCATACTAGTAAGTTGGTTGTATGATAATTATTTTATTCCATGCTTGTAGTATTTTCTACATAAAATCGACACAAAGCTAGTATTTTGCAGTTTTCCTACAAACGGCTTATTCCATAATGGTATCAATGATACAAATAAAAGTAAATAATTTCATTGTAAGCTTTAGTAATTTCATGAGAAATGAACAATCTTTATCTCTCCCCCTAATATATATACATTAGTCGGTTTTTACTGATACAATTTGAAGATTTAAAAACCATATTTTTGCGTTATGTACAAAGTAAATTAAGGTTTGTAGTTTTTATTTTCTAAAATGCTTTCTTTTTCTCCCAAAATTTCTAATTAGGTTCCTTACATTGAAACAAGTGCTAAAGATCCTCCAGTTAATGTAGACAAAATGTTTCACGATATGGTACGAATTATCAGGTATGTTATATAAACAGTTCATATTACTGAGATAATGAACCAATGATGTTCTATAAATTAGTTCAGTGTCTGTGCCTCATCTTTTGTTCAACTGTGCTTCAATCACTATTTAGGCCTAGAATATTGTAAACATTAATATCTGCCGTTCAACACATACAAATAAACTAACATATTAGACTAGATTACTAAAATTAATATAATTCAATAGTACCTGATTGAAAAATCAAACCAATGTTGTACAACTGCATCCCCCAACACTTATTTGGTTAAAGCTGGTTAAGCACGGCACTCTTTATAATTATTTAACTTGAATAATTTGTTTGGTCTTTTTTGATGGACTATTTTTTTGAGTTAAGATTTTTGCTGGCAATTTGTTTCTATCAACAAAATCACAGTCTCATCTGCTCCACACATTCCTATTGCTACGATTGAAGAGATTACGAAATCATCTAAAATCGGCGAACGAAACGAAGAATCAGCGACACAACTCAAATGTATGTATACAGTATAAAAATGTCACAAAATAGCATATTAAAAGAGGGAGAGAACCAATGACCTTTATGGTCTTTTAAAATGGGAAATACAATCTGAAGATAAAAATGGGCGCTGTTGTCGGGAAAATTAGAAATTCAAATTTTAAAAATTAAATTACAAAAATAAGACGTTTACTAAGTGATTTCTGGGGATCTAGCATCCCAAACACCTCTCTTAACAGCGTACGCTATTGGAGTCCATCTGCATCTTGACAGTTGGTCACTGAAGTGACCACTTTGTGGAAAGGAGATCAATTTGTTGTTTTACTTTTTCTTGAGTAGTGACTGAACACCGAAAATCTAGCCTCGTACGTTGGCAGTTTCTGGAACTTAGTCTGTGGTGGTATGGTTTTCGGAAGCATCAGTTTGTGAATCGTTCTCAATCTTATGAAGATCTCTGCTGCAGACTTTTGTTGTGGTGGCATATCAATCATTATCGTTCGATAAACGATTAAGAAGCTTTGTAGTATTTCGTCTGGCATCACTTTCCCTTCTGACTGCAGTAGATCCCTCTTGAACATATCAACAAACCCTTCTGCTTGACCATTTGACTGTGGATGGCAAGGGGACGAGCGAAAATGTTTGGTGGCTAACCGTCGGCAGGATCCTTGGAACCGAATGGAGGTGAACTATGCGCCGTTATTTGATATGATTACATTAGGTAGTCCACTGGGGAAAAATCCGTCAAGAACTGTATCGTTTTGGTCGTTGGTGGCATAATGGGGAGGATTTCTGACCACTTTGGAAACGCAACTACTTATATAGTTGCGTTGATTGGACCAACGAAGTTGACATGTACCCTGGATCAGGGATACCCGGGCCGTGGCCTTGAAACTGGCAGTATTTTTGTGTTAAACTTCGCCGCTTGCTGACACTGCGTGCATTTGCCTACCAATTCCATGATGTGCTGACCCATAAGAGACCAATATAAATAAATTTTAGCTACGGGTTTCATTCATTTTACACCAAGATGACGAGTACGAAACTGCTTCAGCACCTTTGACCGTAGGGTTTCTAGCACCACCACCCTCCAAATACCAAGCATTCATTTACGACGCATAATGAATCGGTAGATATTCATTAGATGTAGTTTAGGTATTTCACATAACTAAATTATAATACACATCAAATTAGAGTAAACAATAAAATTCAAATAAGATTTATGACTTAAATCTATCGACTAATCGATGTTTCTTCATCGAAAACTCAAAGTATTTAGTAAGTCATACGTAATATGACTTCGAATTCAACTCAAACAAACTGGACTTTTATAGGTTATTTTTCTAATAAATCAATGCAATTTAACGAAATAGTATAAATTATTTCTAATTTATCTTATTTATTGAATGACACCTTTGAAGTTTTTGTTTAGTTTTGTCGATTTCTATGGCTTTTTAGCCTAATAATAGATTTGTGTTTCAAAATACTTAAAAATTAAGTTAACTTTTCTGGTTCCTGTCAGCTACAATCAACATTGAACCTGGTACAAATAATACATCGGGTTAATCGGTCATATCATATCAGTTACGGATAGATGAAAATAATAAGAGGAATATCGAAAGAGTCTTTTCTAATGATATCAATGATAATCATGAGGAAGACTAAATAATGTATTTTGATTATGATTATTGGTCATTGAAGCAAAAACATTTCATTATGTAAGCGCTATTTCAATGTTTAGTAAGAGTGTATGTCATTTATTAAGTATAGATTTATGTACTGGGCTTTAAATTTTCTTATCTGTGTAGAAAACTTAATGCTACTACTTACCGGTTTTCCAACGCGAAATGATTAAGGTGAATTTTAAGTTTATTGATGACGCAGAGCCGAAGACTTTAACTAATAAATCCACTGTTTCATTTCAATTGTTTAGCTTAATAAATGACTGTGACTAGGTAAACTAATGAAGATAAACTATTTAATTAATAAAATTAATTATTTTGATTTCATGTTTTTTCTTTCAGAAAACTGCCTCCACCACAATTAATCTCGAAAGGTGATCGTAAAAAAGTTCGTTGTTTGTTATTATGATATGTTGGTTGATGTGGAGGTTAATTAAACTCTTCTCATATAATTTAAAAAAGCGTAATCATCTTCAGTGCCTAGGTGCTTCTTCAATATTTGATATCATTGATCTGTATACATCCTGCATACCCCCACCCTGCCTTCTCATATCCTGTTTTCTTCCTGACCGATTCACAATATGCTTCTAGATGTCTAAACAGATATGTAAAATGAAAATGTTAATGATGGTATTCCAGTGAATTTAGCTAAAATATCATATCAGTTAAACCTGTGATTTGGTAATTACTTTCTCCCACTCTTCATTACCTTCAATCTCCAGGTTTTTTTAAAGCATCTAATGCTAATATTTTTGTTATATGCTTTGGAACGATTGCATTAATGTGGTGTTAAACAGTAACCATAATAATAATAATAACAACCCGAATTGCGCCGATTCCATTTAGTTAACCACTTATTTTCCCCCATCATATTAAACATGCATACACAAACACTGACATTTTGTACAGGATTTGCTTCGATCTTTTATTTCTCTGTAAAACAAGATTTTTTCTAACTTATCGGTTATTATACTTGTACCTTCCAGTTTCCACTATTGTTTCAAGTCTTGCATACGACCACACTAAAGAAAAGTGGCATTTTCGAATAATGTTGAACTTTAATGCTTCAGTGGTTCTTACGTGGTATCTTGTTCCTTAGTAATATGTATTTGGCTGTTCGTATAGTTTTTATACTTACCTGGTCATTTTTTGTACTAATTTAATACTAATGATGTAATAGTTCTGCGTTGTGACTGACTTAACGATGTGATACTAAAATCAACAGTAGTAATAATAACGTTAAGAATTGTATGTTTTTTTTCTGTCAGAATCATTTATCTAGGCTAATACAACCACTTTTTGTAAATTCTTTGTTTTCTCTACAATTCCTGTTTGCAACATACACATCTATGACTGACTAAGCTTTTGTTTTATCCTTTGTAAAATGGTCGTGTATATTTCCACTGAAAACGTCGATCAGCTTGCTGTCAAACATTTGCGGCTTGATACTCATCCCGTTCTCAGCGTCTTTACATCGTAAATAGCAGTTCTTCCTTCTTTTTTCTGTACCTTTCCGTCTTTATATTTATGTATCCCCTTTTGTCTTTCCTATCTATTAATCCGTCTCGTAGGTGTTGTACATTCTACCTATTGATTACGTTAATAATGTTTTTCTACAATGTTATTGTTACTGATATGGTAATTGTGTTGCTTATTATCATCTACTGGGATGCTCTTCTGTAATTTAACCGCTTATTTTAACTTCAGGGTGTTCAGTATACATGTCCATCTGGTTAAACTTCCCAATGCTGTCCATTTAGAAGAGGGCTACATATCAACGACTTTGTGAACAACTGATTGCAGTAGTTTCCAAAGGAAATGGATAAGTGTTTAGTTGTATATCCTGAATAATTGATTACTCATTATTCTGCCTCAAATTCTTCCTTATTAAATCACATTAAGAAAAATTTAGTGTCTATATAAAATTACAATAACCCAAGATGTAATCGTGTCTCATAGAAGTCCATTTGATTTCCTGAAAAAAAACTACCTAAAATCGTGTTTATTTCAAAGATGTGTTTATATACAGGTAGAGTAATTACGTTTTCATCACAATTGATGTTTAAGACATTACGATGGATGATTTATTATTATTGGAAATTTCAGGAAATGTTTGAACTCAGTGTTAATTGTTACTGAGATATTCTAAGCTTGTCTCTTATTGTGTAATGCACCATAGAAATAGGAATTTCAGAAATGGTAGGAAAAGGAGCGTTTAGGAACTAGGGCAGCAGATAGGGAGAATACATTTACCATTTTCCCTTCAACCTGGCGAATCAATCATACCGACTGATTGGAAAACAATACCTAGGTCTTTTTTGTGAAGTTACCGAAATCGGCTAAAAATTAAACTTCTTAAGTTGGCTAAGTATATGTATTTTTTAGTCGGTGAAGTTTTTTCTTATTCTATTTTCCATTTGAAAGGATTTTTTGTGCTATTCTAAGTTATATGAACTTGTCCATATATGATTAAAAAAACATGGATTCGTAGGCTTTTTCAATGGTTAAATCCTACCTAGTATGTATTTGTAGGAAACTTCAGTTATATCCTTTACAATCCTAAAATTACTGATTTTTCAAAGATTGTAAAATATGATCGGGGGAAATCTCAAATTTTTCTATAGTTTTGCCGCTTAAAATTCAAGTAACCGGCAGATTTACTTAGCATTATACTCAAGTAAACTATTAGTTCTTGTTTGATTTTCGATATATAGTAGTAAGTTATTACAGTTATATTTCGCTTTTTGTCGTTCAAGGTACAACCGACTCGCAGTATATATTTAAGCGGACAGTCACTTTTTTGTTTCCTACCTCGTAGGTGAAACATCAAGCTTTCTTTCCAAACAACATGCTGAAGGACGATTGTTGGAGAAGCGTGGATATGTATTTTTTTTACTAGGTACACTAGATTTAAATATTCCAAACAAGTCCTTTCTATTTTGGTGTAAGGAATTGTAGAGACTGTTGAGCATCGTACTTTACATCAAGAACAAACTGCACTCGAACAACAATCAATGAGCACTAGGTGACTGTCTCGTCCCAGCATAGGGCTCAGCAGCGCGTATCGATGAATTCGTCACGGTCAGACCAAAAATCTTCAGTGAGTGCTTAGCCACTAAGCCGTTATGGAATGGTATACATTTTCAACTTCAATTAATTTGCAGTATTGTCTCCTAACTACTTCATTCGACACGTCTGAGCTTCACTGGTTACTAAAACTCCATGAATTACCCTTCGAAATTGGCAACTAGTAATAACATAATTTTTACTGGTATTAATGTAAGCGGTTTGTAGGGTTTGCTGATTTTTGAATTTACAACAAAAATAGATTAATTAGACAACTATTGAAAATCCGGAGGCATGTTACTGCATATTTTGCGGATTTCGAAGTTAGCACCTGATCTCCTTAGTATAATAGAAAATTTGTGTACAATGACAGGGTTGTTAACAGATAAGTACCTAGCCTACAATATAGAATATACTATTATTTCGTAAAATATTTGTTTATTCGTTATTTTATGAACCTTCGAACTTAATGTTTTTACACCGTCGTACATTTATTTTCATTGTTGTGAGGTTGTCTATCCACTTTTTGGTGAGTCTAATACAATCTTTAATATGAGACTGCAAATATATACTTGTGCAGTATTTCATGTTATTGTGTACTCTAAAAATATACTGCCCGAACATAACATGACATCTTTGTAATCATACTGAAAATCAAGGGAACAGAAAAACTGGAATATCAAAAGAATTAGTTGATGTTTTAAAATTATCTGTCGAGTAATTCTCGACGCACCACATGTAGTCTGCTACCCAGGCGCAGATATGTCGTGTGCATTCAAAACATGATTTTACGAATTTGGGTGACAGATACAAAAATTGTGGCTTAACGTTCAGAAAAATTAACATTGATTACTGAATTGTATATTAACACGTTTACCTAATAGAAAATAAGTTATAGTAAGATCATTGTTGACTAAAGAAACACTTTACCTAATTTCCTTACTCATTATTTCAAAAGGATGCAGTTGGATATCTCGCAATACCTTGGTAACTTGTAATTTCCATTATCCCACTTTTGTTCTCATTTTTGAGCTTTACCCATTTTACTACTGAAATTAATTCTCATTTTCTAAAATCCCCACACTACCATATTTGTTTAATTCGACATTTTATAGTCTTCCTATATTTATTGTTATCGGGCTAATCCTCGTTATTATGACATAAAATACGTACATTGATTGCAGTGAATTATTATTTCTAGGCTGTAAGCAGCTGAAAAGAAATCACGAAATAAATAATTCATCATATTCTACTACGTTTGTCGTTTTTGCTCTAGACAAACACAATTTCCATCATCCTTTAATTGATGGACGGATATCTCACCCTCGCCATAGGTGATGTAAGTTGGCAAAAACCAAACGAGCTTTTTGAATCCGTGTAGGGATTTCGTCAGACGCTAACCCATTAGGGCTGATCAGACTTCAATGATAAGTGAGGTTGTCGATGCGTTTGACTACTTCATTCCCACAGGATTTATTGTCTAAACTCAAAATTTACATTCACGGTTGTTAAATCGTTAAAATATCCAGGTCCTATAACACATTCATACTAGGACCAAGTGTTCGAGCTTTGAAACTCGGTATAAATGAAGAATAAAAACCATAAATCGACGGCATTTAAGTGCTCCACAAAAGTCACGAAATATTTCATAGAATATATTTAAGTAAGAGTTGCGTACAAGGAGCAATTTTTATTTGTATATTCCATAAATTATTTTTTATCTTATTTCGAAAACAATGAATATAATATGCAGGGTATATTGAAAATATCAATTGCCCAAAAATCACATATACAGTGTATTTAGCTTTAGATTATTTGAATGTACTTAATTAATCGTAATCAACACAGAACCTGGCAATGTGAATGAGCTTGTCGCCATATAAATTAACATAACGAGATAGAAATTAACGGGATTTGAATGCCTTAAATCTCAGAGTTGCTGCGACGCAGCTAAGGCTTGATGCAGTGAACATTCGAGTCTCACTAGTTCAATGACACATTTGTTTGCATAAGTAGGTTTTATCTTTATCCATTCGTGGTTATTTCGACGATATACTTGTGCTGTTCATAAATCGTGGACTTAAGGGACAGCGTGTTCAACTGTGACTTGGCAAAAATTGCTTTGGACACACTCCGTAGGATCCCCCCATATTATCTTAATACCTTGTCCAATACATGAGTATGGCTACCAGCCGGTCAGGTAACAATATCCCATGGATTTACTTTCAGAAACCTGAGGGAAAATATCTTAAAATTTTATAAGTTAATGAGATTCTAATAAAAATAACTATCAGTAGATATATAAGAAATTCTGTCTAAATTTGATCGAATAGTTTCACATTATTTGCGCGCCGATTCGGTGTGAGACATTAAACATGTCAAAAGTGAAATAGATATCAAACATGTTACCTAAAATCGTTTCTCAACATAAAGAATTGACTGGTGCTTAAAATTAGACTATTAGAATTCAACTCTCGAAATATATGGTACGCTAAGATAAAAAAAAAAGAACAAAACCACATATGCAGCTCATCGTGGCTTTTGTTCGATATTATTTCAGTTTTTAATTCAAAATGATAATCAATCAGCATTGTATTTGTTTTAGTTTCAGTGCGATATTTATTTGTGGAGATACTAATCAATATATGCACACTAGTGACTGGCTTCAAGATGTATATCCTAAAGTTCTAGTGAGAAGCAGTGACCAGTGGAGTTCAACCAGGTCTGTTGTGAGATAGTAACTCACTGATGACAATGATGGATGTATCACTCAATTTCGTGGATCATTTGAAGTTAAACATTAACACCGTTGGATGGCGGCTCAGTGGTCTAGTGGTTAAGTGCACGCGCGCGAGACTTATAGGCCTTGGGTTCGAACCTCACAGGAGGTAGGATCGTAGATGCGCACTGCTGAGGAGTCCCACAATAGGACGAAACGACCGTCCATCGCTTCCAGGTTTTCTAGCTTCAACTGATTCATGATCTTAACCATTGAAATTACTATAATATCCACAATACCCCTTCTGATATTAATCAATGAGTGTTAGTAAAATCAACATATGTGTTTTTGTCTAAGGACGACGTGTTTTAAGAACATTTAGACAATTAATAAATATTTGTTTGCACTACTTATCGTGTGGAATGACAAGATCCTCGTTTTCAATGCATAAGGAAAGATATTACAAGAAAGCTTAAAACAATACTTAAATGTTCATGATTTAATCGTATTCAGATACCGTGTGTACCGATTAAACGTCGTAAATTAAGAGGAAAATAGCTATAACTAATTTCATAAAATATGTAATTCAATTGATTCATACAAAGAGAAAGCGTAACATATTTATGTTTCTTACATGTATATCAGTCAGTCAGTAACAACGCAGAACTTCGTAAGTACGTACATCGGTTCGAGTTGCCATACCACAGATACAATTGTCGATTCAAACCCCATAATGGTAGATGTAGTAAGAATATAAGGAGTCATCGGAAACATTAGGGTTTGAAGATGTTATTCAATGAGAATAATCCAGTGAAATAAATTTGGAAAGTGAAAAAAAGGACATGAAGAATTCAGAAGATTAGAATTTGAGAGAACCATTTCAAACGGTTGCTATAATCTCACGAATCCCAACCAGGTAGACTACACCTACCAACATGGCTCACTCCACTTGTTAGTGACTTTATGGATTTGTGCTCTGTTCTGGTCTGACCGCCCGCAGCTTACTATATACAAACATGTGTATCATTTAATGAATTATAACACTTTTCAAAATGATAAACAATTATTTTTACTTTAATGATCATTTAAAATCTAAATTGAATGTATTCAATATGTTTGTTAAAAAACAAAACAGTTTGTAATGATCCAAAATCTGTAGAAATTATTATCGGTTAAATGTTCTAGTTGTTCAATTAGAAAAGTAATAACAATACTTTAATATAGGAAGAGAATAAAACAACAACAATTAAATTTCAGATATTTGTTTCACCTTAATAAATTTAAATCTAAGAAATATTTTTGGCAAGATTATAATTTATGAATGAACTAATCAGGTTTAAGATAACAGATCTTAGATTTTAGCGCGAAATTCATTTAACTATTTGGTTAAATAGAGTTTTTGGTATTTTACCTAATATCAGCAACGTGATGAAAACCTTAAATTTAATTGTTGATTTTAATCATCTATTATAAATCATAATCTTTATTCTTTACACAGGTTTATAAGTCTTATTTAGTTCGAGTAAGTTTTTAATGTCCGTTATTATGTTAAGCCCTCATACCTTATTCTAGCCTCTGGACAGATCAATTTATCCAATCTTCTTAAGTCACGTTTTAATCTTGTTAATGATTAACTTATCAATCCTAACTGTTTTTAGATAAGCGTATGTGTATGTACTTCTTATCCTACTCATCATATATCTGTAGGTTATTTTTGTGTGACTATAAATATAGATTAACGCTTGGTTAAATGGAGTTGACTCATACGCTTTTTCCACTGCGCCTCGTTTCGCTTCACTCTCTTCTCTTTGATTATCTAATCTTTTATCTGGATAAAAGATGGTACGAAATACACGTATTTGAAATTCATTCTCGTATTTGACTTACCTTAATTCCATTATTCACTAACATGGACTAAGTCAATAATTATATATGAGAATATTTGGAATATATATTTCGATAGCAATCATTCAATAACGATCATTTGTCCAATCTAACTACATTCAGAATTAAAGCTACAAAAGTGATGATTCCATCGATAATATCATTCGATCTAATTGACATCAAAATGAAGGATCCCATAAGTTGATAGACATCTTCAAGATTACTTACGAGTCGTTCATAAATTTTCTCAATTGTATATATAATATTAATGAAAGAAAGTAAGACATGAAATTTATTCCGAAAAAAACCTCCAAATATATTACTTATTTAATTTAATTTCATTAATTGTGATTTAAAATTTACATTAATACAAATATTTCTAGAATTATTTACTAAATTATAAGCATTATTATATGAATAATTATAAAATTTTATTAAATAAGCAATTATAATAGATGGTGAACGTGAAATACCAGCTTCACAATGTATAAAACAACAACCTTTAATTTGTTTTATAATATTTAAAAAATTAAAACAATCATTTAAAATATCATTTAATTGAAATGTTAAATTATCATAAACAATAAGTGATAAATAATGAAAATATTCAGGAAAATAATTTGGTATTATATTTGAAATAAGATTAATAATATGTGTAACATTATTCATTTTTAATAAATTTAAATTTTGAGCTACATCAACAGAACCTACAATAAGAAAAATATATGTAAACATATAGATAATCAATTAGCAAAAATGTAGAACTTCATACATACGTATGTATATTGCCCCCAAATACACTGGTACGACTGAGAGTGGGAAGAGTTAGCTTTCCCTCTCGAAATACTTTCACATAGCCAAATGTATATAACCTCTACTAGGGAAGTTCTACTCATTGTCTTCTCGTGGCGGGGGTGTTGTTTACGAAATTGAGAGGACAAAAAGTGAATGTCCGGCACTTTAACCGGGTTAATGGACATGGAGAGTCCACCTAGGGGAGTTGGAAAACTTTGATTCCAAACCAATGGTGCACATGGGCTCCAGTATTCTGAGGGAACAATTGATGTGTGAACCAACTGTTGGTCACAGACTTCCATGGGACTGTATTTCCTTACGATGCTCCCCTGTCTTGTGGATAAGACCTTTAGATTGAAGGCTCCCCAGAAAAACCACCTACTTCAGTTTGGGCACCTGGGCAGTATCAAACAAATCAAATGAGATTTGTGTGGCGCAAATGTATCTGGTGCCCCCTTGTCTCAATACCTATGTGTTCAAATAATAATAAACGTACATCAATTCGAGTTGCTATACCATATTAGCATAGAGATAAAATTGTCAATTCAAAATTCCATAATCGTAAAGATAGTAAAAAGTATAAATAGTAATTGGAAAGATTATGGTTATTAATAATTTTATATACATTCAATTAAATTAACTTACCAAATAATATTGTAAATTCTGGAAGTTCTATTCTTCCTATTTGTAAATCCAGATTAAAATTTGGAATAAAACCATAAGAAGAAAAATTAGATTCAGATTGAATAGATTTATTATTTTTTTCAATTTCTAATCCATATTTATTCATTTTAATAATTGATCCATCTAATTGTCGAACTTCTATAAGTGTTGGTTTTAAAGAATTCATATTGAAACATTGAATAGCATCTTTTATATTATTCATAAGTTGTTTTATTGAATTAAACCTGAAATATTGAATTAAATAATTTTGGCAAATAATTTGATTTAAATGTAAATTATGATAATAATATGATTTGAGAATATTCAATTGTATAAACATTTAATAAATTCATTATTTTTAAAACTACATTTCTTTTTTGAACAAATTTAAATTTAATAAATTTTTGTGTCAGGTATACTGAAATTTCGTTCTTATTGTTACCTTTACCCAAGCAACACAAAAAGGGGAAATAAAGTGGAAGGAAAGCGTAAATAAAGGGGAAATGTCGCTTTTTCCTTCTTACGTCGTGTATTTGGGGGAAATTTGTCGAAAATTCTACATAACGTCCAGTTTTTGAATGGACCGCATCCACAATTGATGTTTTCATAAACTTCAACAAATTAAGGCACCACTTAATTAAAAAACAAAACTAATGTCATAAATACAAGGTACAACTTACGGAACCAGGCATTCGGTTGAGACGCACATACACTGACTTTATTATTTGTTTAGCTAAAGTGTTCCTACATGCTTTGGAGCCATCACAAAAAACTTACGTGATGCAGGTGAGTGACGTGCTCTCAGATTTTCATGTTCATTGTAACTGACTACCTTGTTAGGCCAATAATGTTATAACATCATTGTTATTTGATTAGTTTATTCATGTTTTAGTTAACCTATTTCTAAGGATATTGTAAATGGATGTTTTATCTTATCTTTTAGTCAAGGTACTTCAGCCTAAATGAGTCTGGAAGTGGATAAATGTTATTTCGAACAACCATGGCATCCAGTATTTCAGAAGACGAGATTTTTAATTCAGATATAACAATTTACATAAATTTATGGTCAGTACTAATATAAAAAATATCAAAGATTGATAATAACTTTTCCAACTACGGGGCAAACAACTAATGTTAGTTGTCAACAGTAATATGAAGCTTTTAGTAATTCAATCTAAATACAATTCCATAAGATAACTGTACGCTAACAGCATAATGATAACCCACTCTTATCATTTAAATCAAGACAGAATGGTGAATAAGTGATTACACGAGTCACAGTTCAACTACTATCGAGGAAGTTCAAATACTATTACACTTGATCTAGGAAAACATTTATAACTGCCAGACGTTACAAAGTGTAGTTCGAACCTGAGAATATCAGCCCAAGCTACCCATGTTGCTACAATACAAAACCATTAATGGGCATTTTGTAGAAAATTCAGGATATCTGTGTAATTTTATACAATAACTAATTCAGACAAGCTATCACTGAAGTTGTTGAAAAGTTTGATAGTTATATATGAGTGGTGTTACGTTCAGACCACCGTTTACTGTGCACAGTTCAAAGAAAATTGGTGACAAAGTAATTAAGGATATAACTATGTTTACTCTTATATTTGTCCTTATAATCATATCTAGAAGAAATTACATATTCTGTACACTATAGATTCGCAGTAACTTCGTGAATACAATTAGTCAGGGTAAATAGTTATCATTTGGTATCTCTGACCTCATCAGTAGTAAAAATTTAGATATAAATAGCAAGAAAAGCTAGCCAGTAAGAACATTGAAACCCAATAGTTTAGTTGCATTGAAATACTCAAACTGTTTTTGTAGGAAAAACTAGGCATAGTAAACTTTGTGATTACGGAAGCATAAAAGATGTGGTGAGGTACACATAAGTCGAATCCAGTATTGTTAATTATTTTGATTTTAGTTACATCGAGAATTAATTCCCTTCGATAGATAATCAAATATTTGTTTACTAATTTGTATATGATCTCTTTTTAACAACATCTGCAACCACCCATAACACTTTTGAAGCATATGTCGCATACGAATAACCAGTAATCCATATCCAAACTGTAACTTTGACTTACCTGATAGCTGAAGTAAGGTAAATAACCGTGGAAAAATCTTAGGTGTTATAATTAGGTTATCAAAGTATGTTTGAAAATCATTGACTTTTACGAAGTCAGTCATTCAGTCATCTACAACGTAGGATCATACATACATACGTACATAGACCGATCCAATTCATCATGCTTCATCAGCACAACAAGGTGAGCACCCAAATAATAGAAGCAGTTACTTCATTGGTAGAAATATATGAAAAAGGAATGCATATATGGACATGATACAAGGGAGAAAAAATTAGTTCGTAGAAAGTAAGGTATAAGGTTATTTCAATCTCATGGTTTAAGAAAAGACAAAGAGTGTATACATCAACGCCATTGTGGTCGGTTCTGAACCGTCACCCAGGGTCTCCAATCACTGGGTAGGATAATCGCATGGACCTCAACCGAGTAGTCTGCATCTATCAACATGGCTCAGACTACAAATTAGTGACTTTAAGGACTGATGCCACGTTTCGGTTTGGCCCCCACTAAGTTTCTTTCGTTTGTCTCCAATACTACTCACAATCTCATCAACAAAACAAGGATTCAAAACGTGTTGTAAAAATCTACTTATGTAATTTGTGGATTATTTTAGTTAAGTTTTCACATTAAAAACAAGCTTCATACTTAAACTAACCTTTATGAAGACAATTATTAAAATATATCGGACAAAATATTTAAGGTGTCAGCGATTAACATTGGAAATTTCGACGATCAAAGAAAGATTGGGAATTTTTAAAAACGTCAAAGAAAGATAAAAACGTCTGAAATAAATCTATAAGTTTCTGATATTTTATATACTAACACGATAGATAAGGAAACTAATTGAGATGATGAGTAAACATTCAAAAATACCATTAAACTATCTGATATCTTATGTAATGAAACCACATTTAGCTATAAAACGTGTGCTTGTATGAATAATTATCAAGCTAATTGTAGAGAAATATAGGCTTTACAATATGATTCACCATATTTCAGATCTATTATAATTAAATCCTGTCAGTTTTGTCATTGATTTATGAAAATCCAAACTTATTTGGATTTTAAAAATCAACTCTATCAAGGAGTTTTTCTAAAATACCAGAAATCTCACAAATAAACGTGACTTAAGGCGATAAAAATCAAACGTAACAAATATGTTTTACATACTTATACTGTTATTCTACATATCCACCAACGCGGTTAAAGCGCCGGACATTCGCTTTTCGTCCTTTCAATTTCGTAAACTACACTCCTACCGAGAGAAGGTAGTGAGTAGAATTTCCATGACAATGGTTGTAAGCAAGTGGCTATGTGAAAGCATTTTGAGAGAGAAAGCTGACTCTCCCTACTCTCGGCCATACTACGGCATGTGGGGGCAAGTCTAGTATCAGGAACAGGATTCGAACCCACGCCCGCAGAGTTGACGTGAAGTACCGCGAACACTTTTATAACCAATTAATATACTTCAGTACCGAAAGCAATCGGAAATGCAGAGTCCATTCAAAAGATTTCATCCCGTATGTTAACAATTACATGTACAAACATTAACCGAACTTTCATGTTCGCACATTGGTAAAAACCAGTTTATTTTATGTCTCAAGTATTTCTCCACTTCTGTCGGGATAAGCTGGGAAGTTCTTTTAAAAGCCATGGTAGGACATTTCCGAAAATGATTAAATACCTTCATATCAATTTATTCCGAAAAACGTTTGAATTAATAGAGATACATTAAAAGATCTGCCTGATTTATGAACTCTAACTGAAATTCTATCTCTACAAAATAAATATAACCCAAATATTATAGGGTATCAATTTATACTATTATAAAATACGGGATCTACAACAACAGCATAAATGATTCATTTATCAATCATAGCATATAACACCATAGTTCCATAAAATTGCATTTATTTATTTGATTTCCGATGATGAAAACGCTCCTGCATAATGTTTTCAGATAAAGAAAAAAAGCAAAATCAGCAAATATAGAAGCAACTTCCCAGTCACCCATTTTTAGCGGTATTACAACAAGAAATTCCGAATGAATGGGATTTTTTTTTTAAATCTGCTCTGGATAATAATTTGAAATTTCGGGGTTTTCTCCAATATTTTTAAAGACTTTCGGGAAATTTAATTAATGTCAATGAAGAAACCCTTTGAAATTTTACTGAATGAGTGTTTTCCCTTCCTATCCGCAATCCGAATCGCGTCATTCCGATAACTTCATTCGGTTAGAATATCATTCGATTATTAGTCGACATTTTGAGATAGCAAAGTAAATCTGTCATAGCAATTCATAGGTACTCATGGTTGAATAATAAGCATTTAAAGATGATTATACTACCGGAAGTGCAAAGTGACTATAGCTACATGAGGCACTCTCAGGATTGAAATCTGCATCTATATCTGTGCACATCTTGAACAACCAAAAAAGGGAAACTGGATAAGTTCCTTAAGCAAAATTCACTGTGAATATAAGCGGCTATGTATCAAATTATCACCTTTCTTTCCAGTCCAAGTGGAAGTTTGCGAATCTATTCATATATTTCTTTGCTAAGGGGAAATGTCTTGAAATTAAGACCTTAACCTGCCACAGAGTTAACGATAAATTGTCTACTTTTCCTCAATATTAACAAGTCGAATGGTTAACTTTATGTACCATTTCTATATTTTTGGCCAAAATTATCCGACCAGAATATTATCGCCAGGATACCTTGGACGTTCGCCATCAATTTCGCAGGGCAACTAAATTTTTTACGCACTAGACATGATTAAAGTGATTTATTTAGAAGAACGACTTACCAATACATTTTGCGTAAATATTTGTCAATAATATCTACATACTAGAGACAGCTAAGTAGTGTAACGGTGACAAACTTGGCAGTAAGTCGATATCGAACTTAAGATGTCCACTTTTCCCTGACGTGTCTACGGATTTAACTTCTGCCGAAACATTTCCTAAAAAATAGTACATATTTTCCCCAAAATGAGGAAAAAGACTTTTCTCCCAAATTAACACACTGTTCCCCTCTATTCACCTAGTTTCCTACTTTTTCCTTTTTTTGTTACTTGGGGGTTAAATTTATGGTGAAGTCATATTGAGACCTCTTATTCACGATAAAGCCGTGCTTTTAATCAAACTTACCTCGTGACCTCTTCAAACTTCTGTAAAATCTAGATCGGTGGTAGACCATTGGGTTAGAAACTGTTGGCTGACACTCATCTCCTATTAATCTCTTGATGTCCAACATATCTATAAAAGAATATGTTGACATTATATAGACTGCACTAAAGGAATAATCGAAAATTTTTATAACAAGTGAAACCCACCTACATGGGGTTCAAGTTAAGTCACCTGTAGCATTTAGCCTCAGGAGGGTTTTCGTCTGACTTGAAGGTACTTTATCTGCTGAGAGAGTGGAAGTTAGTAAGTCAACTACAACGTAGGACCAGGCATATATATTGCATCGGTTCAATTTCCCAAACCTCATTGGCACAACAAGCTGAACAACGAATTCATAGTAGTTAATTCAATGGTTATATATAAAAGAAAAATTGTGTTTAGGGATATAGTACGGGAATGAAGAATCAGTTCGTAGAAAGAAAGATACACAGCAATCTTAATCTCATGGTTTAAGGGAAGACAGATAGTACATAGACCTATGCCATCGTGATCGATTCTGAGCCATGTCACCCAGTCTCCAACCATGGGTTACGATAGCCACGCGGACCTCAACCAAGTAGTCTGGATTAACACTGTCATTTCTTATTGCACATGAGCTTACGTGCTACAAACCAGTTTGCCCCACGAAATTTACAAAAATACTACTCATAAGGAATTACATTCCTCGAATTCTAAAGTGTAAAAGATATTACTGGGTGGGATACAAACAAACTAGTCACCACAGCAGATAAACGGAGTTCAAGCAAACAAGGGACCTATACACTGAAACACTAAAAGATAGCCTCATTATCAAACAAAGCTAATCGATAGATTTGTCCTTAATCCAAAACGTTTAGTCTGTCATGCAGCCTCTCTTCGGCAAGACGAAGTCCTTGTTTCCCAGCTGTTAGACCCTAATGGCCGAACCAACAACGATAGTGGTGCTGCAGAACTCCTGGTGATACATTAATAAAGACACGGGAAAACGTCAGAGGCTTTCGAAGTTGCCCGCCCTTTCGTTTCAACGACCTTGAACGGACTGACAAGAGGCGGTCATTCCGTATTTTGATTGCCGTGGGTTTGTTGGGTTGCATGAGTATCAAGTTTTTCTATGTTTAAGTCATCTTTCGCTGTGTCAAAAAGCACAAGATAACTGCCAAAAGTATTAATTTAGCGTCCTCTGTTTTGTAGTGTACACGTTGGCTCTATTGTTGCTTCGAAACGTGATCAGTGTTCCCAACTGCTGTAGAAAACTTCAACGAAATGTCAAATCACCGGTAAATCTATAATATTTGTAGCACTTCCTTGGGTTGTTATTGTTTTAAGGAATAACGTTTTTATAAATAATGATTTCAGTTTGTAGTGCTTCATGCTCAAGTGACATTTCAGTCGACCTTAGCGATTCTTTTCAAAATATGATACTGAACAAGCGTTTTGCATGCTGGGATGACTTTGGTAGTGCGCTAAAAAGGTTCCAGAAAATATGGAAGAATAATTTTATCCCTTCTCAGACTACCCATACTCGTTAAATCTACATGGAAAGCAAGTGGCGGTTTAAATCGTGGGACTGATCGGCTGACGAGCGATTGTAGGACGGAAGAATTGGCGGAACAAGAAAGCGATCGTTGATAGTCCAATTACCAACGAAGATCTTTTTCGGAGAACGGTACCAGGGGCGGTGTGCTGTGTTTGTTGCTCGAGTTGGCACACCACATCAGAGTGGTTTGCATCCAGAATCTGAAGATTGCGTAGTTGGAATGCGGACCAGAAAACGCTGCAAACGTAGGACGAAACCACATTGAGCCGAGGAACCAGAAGTGACCATAACGACCAAGTTCGAGATTAAATATATGCCAAACATTCGAAACCAAAATATCGACTGAGTGCGTTGACAAGAGCGTAGGTTTCCAGTCCAGCTTTCGCCAAAGTTGACTGAAGTCGACGGTAGCGAACGGGGATGGTCGGAGGCGTGGGCTCAGGATAGGAAAAAGAATTTTTTAAAAGAATGTAGAATGCATGTAGTATAGGAGTGGACCTACACCGTATCGGTCGTTGACTGTGCGACTGGTCACGGAAGCGTACGGGCAACCGTACTTGGCGACCGGAACGTGAGACGGTGGTCTCATTCGTAACGCGCGAGCCTGCAATCTCATCCAAAGTAAAGGGCGGCGTGGTCTGCTGATCTGGACGTGAGACTGTCGTCTCGTCCGTTGAGGGTGCAGATGACGCGTGTTGTTGACTGGGACGTGAGAATGAGGTCTCAGATGTATCTAGCGTGGGACCTGAAGAAGATTTAAGAATCTCGCTAGTAGGTTTGATAGGTCTAGCATTGAGCCTCAGGTTATCAGATAGGGCACTATCATCGACGTGTGCTGGTTTGAGACGATCAATGCTGACGATGTCGACACGGCCATGTCCATCAACCTTGAAGGTCTTTTCGTGACGAGCGATCACGTGAAAAGGGCCTTCGTAACGTTGTTGCAAAGGTTTGCGTACCGAATCCACTCGTATGAAAATATGTGAACAGGTAGATAACTCTCGAGGGAGAGCGACCTGTCGATGTTGTATTCGAGTTGACAACGGAGGCAGTTTTTATATAAATGCAGATATTCGTTGGATGTAGCCTGATTTACCGAAATCGTCACTGCTCCGTGGTGTGAAGAATTCCCCAGGCAGATTCAATGTCGTGCCGTATACCAGTTCAGCGGCGGAACATTGGATATCTACCTTCAAGCTCGTTCTGATGACTAAGAGGACGAGTGGTAAGGTTCCGTACCAAATGTCGTTTTCGTGTGCTCGAAGAGCACTTTTAAGTTGGTGGTGAAACCTTTCAACTAAATCATTTGATGCTGGGTGGTAAGCGGTAATGCGTATGCGTTTCGTACCAAGCAGCTGGGTCAGAGAGGAGAACAATGCGGGCTTGAATTGTTGTCTTCGGTCAGTCGTGACAGTTAAGGGACAACCATACAGAGCTATCCATCGTTCTACGAAGCGGTGAGCAACTGTCTCCGCCGTGATAGATGTGATGGGTATAGCTTTGGGCCATCTCGTAAAACGGTCGATGCACGTGAGTATGTGATCATACTCATGTGATGTTGGCAGTGGTCCTACAATGTCTATGTGAACGTGATCGAAGCACGCATTAGGGGTAGAGAAAAAGCCAAGGGGGCGACTACGTGCCTGTGCAGTTTTGATCGTTGACATTGTAAGCGTTGCTTCGCCCACATACGAATATCTTTATTCATGGACGGCCAGACGTATCGTGCAGCGATGAGACGTAATGTAGCTGCAATACCTGGGTGAGATAATCCATGCAGGGCATCGAATACGAGACGGCGATAAGCAGAGGGTACGATGGGTCGAGGGAGACTGGAAGAAGTATCGCATAGGATGGTGCCAGAAGTCGTAGCTAGGGGTACTTCCTGATACTGAAGGGACGAAGAGTGTGATGCTTTTGTACAACTGGGATTGTTTGCTTGGGCGGCGGCCATAGCAGGAAGATCGAGCACCGGCAGAGTAACTGCATTCGTTTGGATTCGTGATAGAGCATCGGCAACACAGTTCGACTTGCCTTTGATGTGACGAAGTTCTGTCGTGAACTGGGAGATATAGTCCAAATGTCTGCACTCTCGTGGTGAGTAGCAGTCAGACTTGGTAAGCAAAGCATAAGTTAAAGGCTTATGGTCGGTGAATAAGATGAGTTGACGTCCTTCTACTAAGTACCGGAAATGTTCGATGGCGCAGTATGCTGCTAGTAGTTCCCGACCAAAAGCGCTATATCTCGTCTCCGTGGAAGTAAGGCGTCGTGAGAAAAACTCGAGGGGTTGCCAACTACCGGAGATGTTTTGTTGCATGACTGCTCCAATAGCAACATCGGAGACATCAGCCGCTACACTAAACGTGGCTGATGGATCGGGATGGGCGAGAAGGGTGGCTTGCGCAAGAGCCGTTTTGATCTCTATGAATGCAGTATGTGCAGAATCGTTCATTTCTAATGTGCTTGGGTTTCCGCGATGTAAGTCGATTAGTGGTCGTAACCGTTCTGCCGCGTGTGGGATGAAACGACGGTAGAAGTTAACCAAACCGAGAAAAACCTTCAATTCCTTCAAAGAGGACGGCGAGTTGTACTCCTTTATTGCTTGCACTTTGTCCTCACAAGGTAGAATACTCTCTTGCTAGATAACGTGACCCAGAAATATTGTTTCTCGTTTACCCAACTCGCACTTGTCCGGGTTAACTACTATTCCATTATCCGAAAGGCGTTGGAATAATAGCGTAAGATGTTGACAATGTTCATCTACGTTTGATGATGCGATTAGCAGGTCATCAATATAGACGTGAACAAAACCGAGGTCTCGTACAATGCTGTCGATAAACCTTTGAAACGTTTGAGCAGCATTCCGTAATCCAAATGGCATTCGTAGGAACTCAAACAAACCGAAAGGAGTCGTGATAGCAGTTTTTTCGATATCTTCAAGAGCGACTGGGATCTGATGATATGCTCGTACCAGATCGATCTTGGAAAAGATAGTCGTGCCCTTGAGCGATGCCGTGATGTCGTGTATGGGGGGGGACGGGGTAGCTATCAAAGTGCGTAACTACGTTTAGAGCTCGGTAGTCGCCGCATGGTCTCCAACTAACCCCATCTTTTTTGCGCACCATGTGAAGAGGAGAGGCCCATGGACTGTGAGAAGAACGAATAATACCAGTAGCTAGTAAATTGTCAAACTCACGCTTAGCAAAAGCTAATTTGTTCGGTGCAAGTCGGCGAGGTCGTGCCGTGACTGGCGGTCCGCGGGTGACTATGTGGTGTACCACACGATTGGTCATCGATGGAAGCTCCTCGAGTGGTCTAGTTAGCTTGAGGAATTTCTCGAAAAGAGTGTGGAATCTATCGTCATGCGGGTGAAAAGTGCTGAGGATCCGGTACGCGTTCATGTGGGCTTTGCAGTCCATGAATTTGCTGTTCGACGAAGTATCGATTAGCTGCAGCCTACGTGAATCGACAAGCAATTCATAGTGCTGTAGGAAATCGATACCTAGTATGGCTGTGGGAACATCAGCAATGATGAACATCCACAGATACAGTCGTCGGTTGCCCAGGTTGACCGCGAGTTGCCCTGTGCAGTGGGTAGGAATGACTGAGTCAGTCGCAGCGCGTAGTCGAAGCATTTTGGCTCGTGACCTGCTGCTACCTCGCGATACGACAGAGACTTGGGCCCCATTGTTCACTAGGAAACTAGCGTTTGTGCGTTAATCGTGCACATAGAATAAACGACTAACCTGGGAGGAAGGTTCGACGAATACGGCCGCTTTTACTCGCCGGCTTTGGAGTTTCCCGCCGTGTATGAATACGGGGCTCGACAACGGTGGGCGCCAGAGCAGAAGGACCGGTGGAACAAATACCAACCTCCACTCGCTTCCGGAGCCGTCTTTTGGAGTGGCTTGGAAAATGCCCTGGTTGTGCGAGTGGTTATGGTTTTACGGGAGCGTGTACGAGCTCGGGATACGTAGGTTTGGAGTGTGTTACAATAGTCTCGAAAACTAAGACGTGTGTGAATGCACCCGCCCCTTTCACCTTGAGCCGAGGAATGACCGGCGTCCATGTCTACTTTTGGACGTGCCGTTGAGGCAACCATATAGTTGTCTCTGTTGCTAGTCCTCGCCATTATTAAAGATGCAAAAATGTGTATGAATTTTTTCATTATTAGAATCTATAATATGTCAAATTCGCTAACAGAAGCAGTATTAATGGCATCTAATGATTTAACGTTAATTTTAGTTCCACTGTTCGGTCAGTTGTACGCAGATTAGGACGCCTAACACATGCACAGTCCTAAGTTGCTGGAATCCATTGTCAAAAAGAGGTGAAACTGACAGGGCAAATCACTGAATGGTGTAAGTGGCAAAACCGTTAGTTGAAATAGAAACGATTACGCATCTATGATACCGTTCGACAAGAAAGTGTAAGTTAGTGGGATAAAAAATACGTATAAGGTATTCAAAAACTTGTGATCTAAGAGAAGACGAAGAATAAATGCACATTATCTATTGCGAACGAATCTATACAGTATCACAGAAGGTCTCTAAACATAGGTCAAGACAGTCATAGGGACTTTAACTAGATAGTCTGCACCTACTTACATGACTCAGTCGAACAGTCAGCGACTTCATGGACTGATCTTTTGCCTTGGTCCTGGAGTCTCTAACATTTATCTAATGTAATTTAATATCAGCAACTACTGCCTGTCGACATAGTAAATGAATGGAAATATTCAGTGCATGAACCATAACTGCTGACTCACGAATGTCCTCTGTTTCCAAAAACCGTGTTTCACGACAATAAAAAAACAGAGAAAACTGCTGTGTAATAAAACAATCTCTTGGTCGACATAGGGATGTCTACTACACAACACAGGTGACACAGGTTGGCAAAAGCCAACCGAGTTTTCTGGACTAGTCCCAATATTCCGATAGACACTCAACAGGGCTGACGAAACTTCCAAGACAAGTGGAGCGGTTGACACATCTGACTACTTCACTCCTTATCACTAGTTTAGACGTTGACACAGACTAGTCTTGAAACAACTTTTTGCATTTAGAATGAAAGAATCGAATCCCAAAAACGCTAGCACTGTTGTTCAAGGCGATCAAGAGATTGTGGGTTTTGTTAGAACAATACCGCCTACATATTCAGTTTCAAAGAAAGAATGTGTTTGCATATTGATGATTAGGATGCTTTTAAACGTAACTCAATTTCGTAAATGTGGTATTCAGCTCAGCAACCAATCAGAATGAGGCGGGTATTATTATATCCGCCATCTTTGTAGGCGGTGGCGGTCGGCTTTCCTCGTTCTGTGCTTTTTTCAGCTATTTCTTTTGTGAAGCTACGGAATTTAATGTTTCAGTGTGCTAAAATGCAGAAGTAAATGTAATACTCTGAGCGCTGGAGCAAACGTTTTCGTCATTTTGCTTTGTTTTCTGGGTTTTGGCTGCTGCTACTGAAGTCAATGTATTTCTTCAGCCAAGCTGTTTAGTCTTATCGGTTACATTTTGACTTGTTTTCTAGATATAATAAACCGAAGCTCGTTTTTTAACTAAAATAAGTGTTGCGGCCGCCTGTGACTAACTGTCCGCATGTACATTCCGAACTGTCCTTTATGATGTTATCGGCAAAATGAAAGGAAACAATTTCCGGTTTTTAATTTTCTTCAGTATTTCGGACAACAATATCCCACCAACGTGTCAACCTAATACTTAGTGCCTAGCAGTAGGAGATATCAGTATTGTTTTCGAAAGGACCCAGACTTCTGACAACCATAAACGAAGTCACGGATACTACCAATATATTGCAGAGGGTTTGTTATGAAAAATATGCCATATAGCAGTAATGGAGGGGTTGTACGCATTACGTAGTGCGTTAAAGCAAGATTAACACTGAAAAGCCGGAAATCTGCTATCAGTGTGTGGTGTATGTTTGCTGTTTGGCCATAAAAGGAGGCCGAAGGATCATGATCAGGGAGTAAAAAGGTAACTAACTGTTATTAAGCCCACCTTTTTATAGACTATAATTCACTACTCGCAAATTTGTGTTTTTTACGGTATGATGTTAACCGTTTTCTAATATGTTCACCCTTACGATGAAAAGTACCTGCAAATTCTCACTTTCATATTCGAATTATTTTTGGACAACTGTCTTCCAGTTTGAGTGCTTCGTACGCCCTGAGGGACTAGATTCTTACAATATTCGTAGTTTCAGTATAACGTTCTCACTCAGTAAGTTCAAAGTAAACACTAGTCTTTCTAAATAAGCCTGTTAAGCTAATATCCGTATTCCCTATTTCACTTAATCGATGAAAACATGTACCACGTGCATCTGCTGTATATTGCTATTTTACTCCAACTCTAACTGTTTTATCTTACTTCTGAAAAATAAAATTGCTATATGCAACAAATACAGACTTATTTGTTTTGATCGAGATAGGTGGGTTCATGGGATTTTTCGCAGGACTGTAGTAATATTCTCACTAAAGAGCTAGGCGAGTGCGTAGACCAATGTAAGGTACCATACAAGGTGCCTTTGAATTACTAGTGTTTCATTAGTGCGGGTAGGGGTATTGCTTGCTTATCATATGGCATTTGAATAAGGAGCTATAGGATTAGACGAAGGTACGTTTAGGATGTGTAACGCGTGTCCATCCATCAGCTGCCGTGACAACTCATGGTGGTTAGAATAAGTTATGAGAGGACCCGAGTCTGTAGGTTTCCCAAGTCACTTAAATTTACTGCATATGAACTAGATGCTGAGAGGCTCGTATATCACAAGTTTCGTGCAACAATTAAGTAGATAAAACAAAGTAGCTTTAGATTCGAAAATTTATTCGAGAACTTTCATTAAGAATCGAATATCAAACAAAAGTTTAAACAAAGTTCCAGTTTAAAAGTTGCACTGGTAATGTTTAGCTGGAGTCTTTGTTGATTTTTCCGAACGAAAAGGTAAAAGAAGTAACTCAAAAAGTACTGGAAATGGTTAAGAGACCAAAATGGACGTCCAGCATCCGTATTATAATCTGCTGTTAGTTGGGTCTCCCGTAAACAGTTTCATAGGGCCATTGTTCTAAGGGCGAAACAGTTCTTAGGATCTGTGAAGGCTCAGTCCTGTTGCATTCTAAATGAGAAAATAGTAATGAATTTAGTCAGAAATGTGGAATAGATAAATAAACAAATTACATGTTTTTTTAGAAAAGAATTTATGCAATTGTGATTTACCTTGAGTTCATGAATATTAGATCAGGTCAGCTGTAACTTGTGCAAAGCATAACATAGACTTAGTACCGTATCTCAATGCTTTTATTATTTTGCTCTGATTTAAGTATTACTGTGCATCTACGTCTAGTTTAACAGGGAGACATACAAGCAGAGTTAGTGTCTGATAAACTAAAAGTCCCAGTTGTCAAAAAGATCCTTAATATTCGTCTACAGCCAGCTGCATTTAATTGAGACACAGAACACTCATCTTCTAAGACTGTATACTGCTTTTCTGCAGGCAAATAAAAGCTCACACAATTATCTATCCTGCTACCGATGTTATTGCTGGGAAAATTGTTTATTTACAGTGATCTTGAAATATGATCAGTGATAGATGTACAGTATAGAAATAAACATGAAACACACTTAAAGCTATCTTTGTGGGGACAGAACATTTTGTATGTATCAGGCTCCTCATGACTGAGAATAATTCAATCAATCTGTGATATAGATTGTTTTCCTACGCTCACCACTCAAACTCATGTTTCAAATATTATGCTGGATTAGCTATTCTACTAAGACAACCCATAACATGCTAACTCGGATTTTTATACTAGGATTGTGTGGCTGGCATCGGAAAAACAAAAAAAGAAAAAAAAGTTAGACAATAAAAGATGTAGTCATTAATATTCTTAACACTTCACCCTCTATATACACACCCTTCTTATAGACCGCTTTCCTAGTAACAGCCTTGACTTCCTTTCCTTCATGTGAGCTTACTCCAACTTGTTAAACATCACAACTCATTGTTCTTTATTAGTACATTCTATAATATGGAGCCTCGGACTTCATTTTTCTAACAAGACATAATATGAATTTATTCTAATTTATTATACCTCTGTCCGTTCTACTACACTATGTTAAGCAACGTTTTGCGTTCATATCCAAGTGCCTTGCTGCTCTTCTGTTTCTCTTTTTTCTTCAGAATCTTGCTCTGAGAGCACGGCTATGAAACTTCTGACGTTTGGAACAAACTTGATGTACGGGTCCTCTCAAGGTCATAGTTTACAGCAAGCGCTCTACGATTTCACTTTATAACAACTATAAACTTAATAAGTTGGGAAACATTTTGTGAACCAACAAATGTTGTAATTTATAGATCATGCCTGTAAAAACGGTGTGTACCTGCACATGCAGAAATATATTATTATTATTATTATTAATATATGACCGTAACAGCATCAAGGGCAGGGTTTGTTCCTATTTTTAATCAGACTGATTTGAATCAATATACTCATTAAAAACAGGCAGCTCTACTTACTAAACTGATCCGTTTCGTTACAGGCTTTAAGCGCTATACTTAAGTATACTATAATTCTATCGGCTAATCTAAATTATAACGGCAACCAAGAATACAAAACTAAGCAAGTATCATAATTGTTGTCGCATTTGCACAGACATGTTGTTAAACGGAGTAAAATGAACATAATTCAACCGATAAAACCAAAACACGAAATATACGCCATTTGAACATACGTAATAGAAAACGAAGGATACACATATATTGCTTTGAGATTGATGACAACAGTCAGTTGTTCATAAATCATAGTCTACAGTACAACAGACAATTCTTCAGTATCATCATGCACTGACTGTCTATCTGGAAACAATAAACTATGTGATTAAACTAACTATGGCTTGAGATATCCTTCCAGCGTGCAATGAACGTACAGTGTAACGCAGTAAAACGTGGCGGATAAAAATTAAAAACAGAGAAAAATTAACAACATAATCTGGTTATTTAATTAAAAATACATTATGAAGTGACAAAATCTTTGGTTACTTCAACGCACAGATGACCCTGGGCGATAGATTAAGTTTACATGGTTGCGTTGCGGATAAATTTACCCGATCATTAGCACTGAAGAATATTTTCAGGGGAAATTTACCTCAGTTATCCGTGTTACCATACAAGGTTTTTTGTATCTTGAAGGACTGAGATAAAAGGTTTTACTTCCCAATAAAGAAGAATCTTGTCTGTCAACCAGAACTCAGATCGGTAGATTAACAACGTTGATAATCTATGCGGCATGATTGAGAGCCTACTTGAGTCAGATGGCAATGGTGCGACCAACAGCTAACTCTGAAGTCACAACTCATGGCCAGCACCTAACATGGATTACACTTTCGTTGTACGAAGGTAGTATGAATGCTCTGAAGACCGTATTACACAAAGGATATTATAAGAGAAACATATCAGAGTAGGTTCAAGCAAAACTGTGACCTCTACTGCATGGGCCATGAACTGCAGTTCATGGCGTACGGTTAATCGATGCGCGTTGGTTGTTCTCAACCTTGACGGGGATCGGTGAACTGTTCAGCATTCAGTGACCTGAATGCCGGATGATTAGGCGAATGCTCAGTGAAATTTCACTATCACCACAGATCTTAATAAACAAATGAGTTTCCATTTCTTTCAAGTGAATTTGAGATCTGAACATCTACAAGCAGGTATACTACACAGTCTAATGGTAAAGTCGTACGTAAATCACAAATGAGGTGAATATTCTTTGTTTGTTGGCCTGCGTTTTAATGCTTAATTTGATAATTCTGTTAGGCCGTCAATTCCCCAAATGACTGGCGGTTATTTCGTATGGCATTGGACTTTGGTTCGTCGGTTCAGTCTTGGAGCTTTTTGCCTTACCACATCGTTAAGCGTATATACAGTTATTTAGGCGATGAAGTTGTTTACGTTTCTACCGTATGCAAACGCTGGCGTGGGGTCGCATACACCGATAGATCTGTATGGAAGAAACTACATATATGTCCTCCTAATTTTCCAGAAGTTGAAGCTCTCAAGAATCAGATTATCCCCATGAAAATTTGTAACGAGGTTTCGCTTGAATTTGATCCAAGGGATGAGTCTCATGTTGCTGTTTTGGAATACACACTTAATGCTTTGTGTTCGAATGCTGGAATACATTCCATTTCCCTACGACCGACATTAAAACTTTTATACAATAAATCCTCTTTAAATATCTCGAACCGACTTTCAAAAAAGTATGTCATGAGAACTTATTTTTTAACTTAAAATGTGAAAAAGCTGTGTAATATCTATTCATGTACATGCAGTCTGTCCCCATATTGATATTGTGAGACTATAACTTATGGACAAACCAATCAGATCTAAGGTTGCGAGTTTTGTATTTCGGCACAGAAATCCCCGTGACCAACTTTCATTTTTGGCATTGTCGATGTCAGTTCGTGTTGACAACTCTAATCTTTATTTGACTCGATACTCTAGTCTCCATTACCCACTAACATGACTTTCTTTGACGGCAGTAAGTGGTTAAAGCTTCTTAGAGACACTTCGGTATCTCTCAAACGTTGTTGATGGATTACAAACTTGGCATAGTTTTTTGGATCCTACCTCATCGAATAAATGGACATGCCTCTACAATTTTCAGATAAATGAATAGTCATTTTTCAACAGCAATGCTTAGGTCTAAACTACACCCAATAACCCATTTCACCATGTAGTACTCCATTATCAATGACTTACGACTTCAAATTTACGAGAAGGTAACAAGTAAACTAATGATAGCTGGTGACATATGTTTACGACTCAGAGGGTTTCAATTATGAGAAATTTAAATTACATTCTTACTTAACAAGGTATTCAAAAGGTGCAGAGAAAAATAAAACCCAGTTGACACAGATGCAAATTGACCACCTATTGAGACGTGCTGTACTAGATAGCGTGGGTATATGTGCAAAGCAGTGGCTTAATGGTTAAGGGGTTTTACTTTCAGCTAGTGAGCCGCATGTTCGAGTCCTGCTCCACCTACTTCGATTTTCCATACCTAGTAGTACAGCTAACCTCCATAATGTCTCGAAACTGATTGCACTAATCTATGCTTGGTAAATAAGCAAATAAAATATTTTGCTCAACAGTTATGTGTGGCAGTTTCCAAACAGTTTCTTAACCGTTGCAATCAATCCATCAGGTTGCGAGCTTATCAAGACTGGTCATGTTTTTTTGTTTTAATTACATAGAGGGAAATGATCTTTAATAATATGAGTATTCCACGAGGATGTCAACTGTTTACATACTTTCCGAGGTACTGGAGATCGACTAAATACTCTGTTTGAAGAATGAACTACAACTGGGTGATCCATATATGTACAAAAGGTATTTACCTCCCCAGAAGCATTTCTTTCTATCAGTTCAAGATTTTGAAATTTCCTGAGTGGGTCCCTACTTTCATAATTTTGTCCTCTTCATTCTCCTATTGCTCGTTGAAAGAGCAACAAACGTACTTGTAAATTTACTGATATAAATATATCTAATAAGCCAAACCTGTATTTCTGTCTTCCAGTTATCCTGAAGCATAGTGCAATAGGGTTATAGTGATGGTGGAGCAGTCACTTGAAAAATGAAAGATGACTTTCAAACCGTGTGTTGTAGGTTCGATCCCTTCTACAGTATATGGCTTAGCTTAGCAATACTACCACACCTATACAAAATGTATAGTTCAAAGGAAAGCAACGTAGATCCTAACATGTGTATCATTTCAAGTTGCTATACCACATTAATACAGCGAGTTAAAGTTATCTTTAAAGAAATTTCAGAGTAGTAGAACTAGTAACGGTATCAGCAGTAGTAAGGAAAAATCAGGTATGGGGAATATGGATTATAAAGAGATTTTCAGACTCAGGTTCTAGAGAAATACAGAGTGAATGCACTTCCGATATTGCGAACAATTCCTAGCCAAAGTCTCTAACCATTATTTACGGTTATACACGGGTTTGCACTTGGTTACTAAGATCGTGTATCACATTTGTAAGTCACATATTCAACCCACTTCACTTCGGTTACAAAATTCGAGAACTATCATCATCGAAAACCGCGAGGGTGATTCTTTTATTCCAATGTACATCCTCGTATTTGGACTTCCCATTTTTAGTTTTTAATATACTATTAATATAAAACAAGCATATTTATCTTTCTCTACTCTTTTCAGTTTGAAGTTGCGAAGATTGTTGAATTTTATTTATATCATAAATCGACCAATGTTAGACCACCAGTGAAGACGTACAAGCACTGCACTGCCGTTTCATCCTGGTATCGGACTCAGCAGTGCTACTCTATGATCACACAGGCGGGATTCAAACCAAGGACCTTTGATCTCACGCGAACGCTCAACCTTTAGACTATTACTGAGCATATGATAATTTTCAGTTCGGGGTTGTGGAGATTGTTGAATTTCATCCAAGTTGACTAACTTTGCAAGGTAATTCTCGGAGTTCTAGTTAGAAGTTGTGACCAGTGTAGTTCAACCGTGTCGAGTGTGAGGCAGTTACCCATGGAGAACAATAAAAGATGGTCGCGCAACATCGTGGATTGGTTGAAGTTAGATATTAACGCCGTTGAACATCGGCTCAGTGGTCCGGAGGTTAAGCGTTCACATGCGAGACGGTGGGTTTTGGGTCTGAATCCCGTTGCGAGGTGATTAATGCGCACTGCTGAAAAGTCATATTCTAGAGCGAAACGGCCCTTCTGTGCTTGCAGGTTTTAAATGGTTGTCTAACGTTGATGGGCTCATTATTTCAATGATATTTTTACTTTTGTTCGCTAAAAAGGAAAAAGAGATAATTTTAACCAAATTCAGCCACCAAATATGGGTTCATGTATTCAGTTTTGACTTGTGCAGTTATTTTTGGGATCTGCTTGGGCCAGTGAACGTGAAGTTCGATTCAAGCCTGGAACTTAATCGGGTTAAAATTCGAATGGCTAAACTACCAATTTACCCCATTACTGTTTGGTAAAGAAACACTTTTTCATTGTATTTTAAGCTATAAAGATGTCTTTTTTAATATTCGACCATGTAATTATCTATTTTTACTTTTTCTGTATTTAAAAGTATGTTATTATTCTTTCTTTTTCCTATTTAAACTTCAGAATAATAAATGCATTATGCGAGGTCATTATGAATGCTAAATGTTTAAAAAATTTTTATTGGGGTGGGACTTATTGTGGAAGTTATGAAGTCAGTCGTGTATTACAATCATTGACAAAAAATCAAAAGCATAATTTATTATCATTACAAATTATCAGATTATTTCAAATCAATCAATCCATGTCATATTTAAATACAAGATTATTTATATTTTCCAACCTCAACCAATTTTCTATTAATTACCTAAATCTTTCGGAGGATATACTTTTAATTTTAGCGAAAAATTCAAACCATCTTCGTATTTTAAAACTTTTTGTACAAAACAATGTTCAAGATCTTCCCATAATTCGGTGAGTTTTATGATTTTAAATAGTTGTATAGTATACTGTTTCCATATCAGTTGAAATTAGTTTCTCTGATGTGTTTTTCTTAGTACTTCTCTCTCATTGTGCCGATTTCATGTAGAAACTTAAATCAGTACACATTCATACGATTTCCTGAATCAAAAGTAACCGACTGACTTATTAGGAATATCAGGTTGTTTTGTAATTATTTTATTACACATTTTAAGTACGTTGAATTACTGAGTCTTTTAATGTATTTGACACTAGAGACTTGGTTGGTCAAACGATGACGTGAAATTAGCGACACATATTTGTCTAACTATTAGGGGACGAACGTAGGATTTTGGCTATCATTCATAAAGATTGAATGATAGATGAAATGGGAGTTTTTATGGATAAGTATGTTGGATACCCTCAATGTTTATCTTTCCCGAAAACATCATCTCATTTCTGGGTACTGTCATATTTTTGTTCTGTAACCTCATGTCTGATTGTGCAAGGTTTCATGTATCTGTCGGTCTAGGTAGCTGGTGTATGTTTATAAATGACTTTTGGGCTATTACTCAGATTGTCATATACTGATGACAGCAACAACTAAATGTATTGATAACGGTGTATAAGCCCCTTAATCTCAGAGATCGGAATTAAAATACCTTCAGCTTTTCACTCTATAGTCGGTTCCAAGTTTCGCCAGGGAAATAATCAGTGACTAAATGTAAATAGATCACACAAAAAAAACAGTTTATAAAACAGTTGTCCAATCCTGCCTACACGTCGAGTTTTGAATATCAGTCATCATTTGGTGTGAAGTGTGTTCACTTTGTGTACTTGTTTGCATGTTATAATTATCCAAATTTATATATATAGACTAACAATCAGGATTAAATTAATCATGCTGATTGATAGCCACAAATCGACATTGTCAGTGCATGTATAGTTTTGAAAAAAATAAGATCCGAATAATAATTAGCTAAATGATTAAATGTACTATGTTGTCGATGATGATAACCACAACGCATTATCTGTAAATTTTTGTTGTAGTAATAGTAGACTGTATTTAGGTTCTTCAACAATTATCGACGCTGTTATTTAAGTTCCTCGGCTATTTATCTTATTAATTCCGCTTTGATGCTCTGATTTAATGTAACAGCTTGGGGGAGGAAACTTTTATGACCCCATCCTACGTTAATTATGACTGACTTGGATCTGCTGTTCATTATTGACGTTGTGATCTCGATTACGTGTAGTCAACTGATGGTAGCAACTGTTTTTCATCACTATTACCAGTTAAAGTGTTACTCTAGTGTATTTTCTTTTTGTCTCCTCATCTACCATAGAAATCAAATTTGGAGACATGTGCATGAAATACTTCCTAATTTGCGCGTGACTTTATTCCTAATTTGTGTAAATGATCTCAAACAATCAACAATCCATTCGAATTCAACCAATCAACGAATGTCTTTCATACAAAATACTACTCAAGAACTTGATAATCAATTACCACTACCATCATCATCATATTCATCGATGTCACCATCCCGTTCTGTCACTTCTACATCCTCATCGCCAGCGTCTTCATGTTCACCGCATATACCGGTGCAATGTCGACTGGAAAATGAACGTGAACAACATTTAGAGGAGTATCATCATCCATATGGTGAACAGAATCAAATTTATCAATTACTTTCAACCAAACTTTTGCCTTCTGCTTTGCCTTTAAATTCAATTTATATATACTATTGTAAACCAGATCCATTGTCTTATCTTATACAATATTTAATGGATACATTTGCTATGAGTTTAGAGCATTTCTATCTAATTGATACTTTCAATATAATATCTGTGATGTCAAACAATTCTAACGGTATTTTATATAATAATCCTCATTATACGGAATATACTACCATTACTACTAGTAGTGATAATAATAGCAATAATAATAATAATGGCAATATCATTAGATTTATTGCCAATACACCAGCAACAATGTCTTATGATGCTGTTATTAATTATGATAATTACGACTGTGTTGACTCTGATTATCAGTCAATGTTCAGTTCTTATTCCTCACATCATTCATTATTACTGGATAGTACAAGTGATTTTGATATATTGAGCTGTGATTCTTCCTATGATCTATTTGATTATGATGATAAAAGTTGTAGTAATAATAATTATTACTCAGGTAATTTTTTGCTGCCCGTTTCAACCAGTGTATCTTTGACTTCATCATCTTCGTCTTTACCGGTACCGTCAGGATCATGTTTGTCTGATGATCAAATACACCAATCATTGATAGCACCAATATCACTTCATAAGATGGTTGGACAAATTGAATACTCGTCTAATTCAGAAATTACATTACCAAAAAATGGGAATGATAGTTTGAGCATAATGAAATCAACTGCATGTGAGGAAAGTGCTATCGATAAGGGTGGTGGTAGTGATACAAGGGTTGTATCTCATTCATCGCTCATTTCTACGCATGATAATACCAATACAACTAAAACCAATGTTAGTGATTATTGTGATTATTTACCTTACGACTGTAATTATTATTCCAATTTTTCTGAGGCTCCACAATCATCTACTTCATCAAATCTTGTTTTTTACTCACCAAATTTGTATAAAGCGCCTGATGATGTCAACCCTGATCCGTTTGTTATGTTAGCATGGAGATGTCAACAACTGTCGCATTTTACATTAATTGGTAAGTAATTTCTTTTCAAATTGTATATAGAATTCATATTACTAGTCAAATTAATCTGAACAACTGCATACGCGAATACGATGTGTGTCAAAACTTATAATTCTTCTTTTCCTCCTAGGAAGGTTTATTCAATCGGTTACGTGCTTGTTTTCTCATATAATCTGTTTAACCAATAAGGTTACTCTTAAACCGGTTGTTCAAATCTGAAAATAATTAAGTAAACTCAATAGTACAGAAGTAGTAAATGTAATATTTTAAATAATAGTACATTATAAAATTGCAATAGAATTTTTGCCTATAAACATAATGATGATGACTTGAGCACTTACAAGTAAGCTAATATGTTATACTTCTTAAAAAAATATATGACTTAACGAAACAAGTCAAATGGTTTTCTCAATAAACGATTTATCAAGAAAAATTGAATACACAGTAAACTAGATGAAAATAACCAATATGACAAATTATATATTCATATGACTGCAGTACAAAGAAGTTCCTTGAAATCACTAAACTACAGTGAAATGAATTAAGTACTGTTCATATTTTAATAGACCATTCAGTGAGATGTATTCAATCAGTTATGCCCGTATTCAACTATGTGAGTGACATTTTTAATCAAATGCTCTTGATAATAGTAATAAGTTTTTAAAGAGAATTTATTCTGGTGAGGGACATAGGTTAATTTACTTTTGCAACTGAACGCAGAAGATAACCATTAACAGTTAACGATTTTTTCGATGTTCTAAATACTAGCGTGCATTTTTTTGAATACACAGAATAGTTTCTAGCTAGAGTCAGTCGTGACGTGAAAACCACGTAGTATGAATGTATCATACTAAGGGCTAATTTTTTTATTGGATAAGTTTTTATCTTGCCATATTTGATAAGCAGGATTTGTGCTTATCACATGTACTAATCACTCAAGCGTAAATACACTTTAGAAAGTTTACCTCATACCGTATGAATATTTTAAGTGAACATATTGAATTCATGTCAGACAATTAATATGGTCTGAAGAATCAGTACTCTAAGAGAATTATCATCTGATAAGACTATATTACAACTGCGTTAAATATAATCTTACATAAATCCTAACAAGCTGTAGCGGAATATTAAGGTCAGCTGATTCCATTGATTTTCCTGATAACAATTCGAAAGAGGTCAACTTATAAACGAACATTACTAATCATGAATAAATATAATAATAGACTACAGTGGACTGGATACAAATTATCATGAAGTTCAAATTTATCTATTTTATGCTATTAATGAAATGATTACCATGATTATTATTCTTTAGAGTTGTAAGAAATAAAACAGTGCATTCATTTATTGTGAAGCCCAAACTGCTTAATTACAATCTTATCTTTGTTTTTTTCCGAAAATACTAAATTTAATATCGGTTCCAATATTTTACGAATTCATGTGAATTAAATGAATCATGTTAAGCGATGAACATTCACTGTTGAGCACCCTGCACTGGCTTCATTGTCATAATCATCGGGAACCATCTTATAAACCTCCTTACTCTCGGGATAACGTTCCGTATGATGTGAAATCTGCACAAACTGTGGTGCGCAGCCAGGAAGTTTCCACTTAGAACATTGCCAATGACAGGGCTGTTTTCACTACTGAAGCTTCTTACCGGTATACCAGAAAGACACAAAAAAGGCTAAAAACCTTTTAATAAGATAAGATGTCTCGCCAACTATAAATCCAAAGGCTACAGGTGTTGCCCTCATTGATGCATCCAGTGTTACTAACTCGTCGAGTGGTATTTCTTTATTATATTTAAGTTGCCACCAATTTCTATGATGTTTGTAAACCGGCAAGCTATGTTATTTGTATCCCATGTACAGGAGAAATAGTACTGCAGCTGACCATGTACGTCACACCACGTCTGTGCTTCGCCTTCCAAATGCATGATGTGCTCTGCGAAGGCTTCAAAACATTATGAAAACTACTAAACAAATCTGGGAGGTTTGATTTTCCAAAAAGGACGACACATACCCCAGACATCCTGTGCAAGTTGTTCTCCGTAGGTTTCTTAAACAGAATCGATTGGTACAAATGTTGCAACTCCCGACAACAGTAAAGGGAGAGTGCTCTACATTTGGTCTGTCAGACGACGGAACCATTTACTTTGCTCAAGAACAACGTGCGGTTGTGAATCATTGACGATCTTTTCACGGTAGAGAATCCATCTGCCATATGAACATTTGCGGAGGACCAACATATCTAATAGCATGTCTAGTTTAGTATATACAGGATATTTGGAGAAACTTACCTTCGCCTTGATGAAGATATCGGTCATTGATGAATTCCTTTTCATTATCCATACATATTTAATATAAAAAATCCCTCTCTTTGTAATGGCTATCCAATATAGTAAGATAACAGAAAGCTTGATTCCCGTAAACTGTTAACTGTCTGACTGACTCTTCCTTGGTTAGAAATCCAGCGCCAACAAACATATCTCGAAGCATATTGTCCGCCTCGCTGTTCGAAATAAACATGTGAAACAGCATGATGGTGTTAATAAAATTTGTGAAATGCTGCCCTTTTGAATTTGATGGTTTTTATTCTGAAGGCAATTTCTCCATTAGACCATGGGAATCACGTTTTTGATTGATCTAAGGGTTAGGGAACTAGGGTACATGAAAATACAATTTCACCTCCAGAAAAATTAAATTTACGGAAACCGTCCCTTACTCGTCAAATAGTTTGACCGTTTAAATTGAATTAAACTTAATATGTAATGTTGGTGAAATTGAGTGTGTCAAAACATGTAAGACTGTAATTCAATGTTTTGGTTACTCAAAAATGACCCTGTCTATTTATCGACTAACTAATGCGTAGTCTTCTGTCCAAGTGTTCTGTACGATTTACAGAGCAGTTGTTTAGCGAGAGCCGAATCGGCTCATACCAGTCTGGAATATCTTTTGATCTATCACAACTGACTGTCAAAGGTTGAGGGCACAATATGTTAATAGGAGCAGTTTCACTTTATGGTTGTAAAACCTAACCCATCCGAGATCAGGATATTTATTTGAGAACCGCGCTAATAGTGTTGAGGTCCACCAATATGTGTTAGGGAATAGCAACGATAATCCTCTTGATATCATCGTTGATTGATCTCATACTAGGAAATCTACTTGTCGACCACTCCACTTATCTTGGAAGTTTCGTCAGCCCACAGGTGTTTTCGAAACAGTGCTCGTTTGTTGGGACCGCTGAGTTATCATAGCTGAGGTTAGACTCAGTATAATAGGTAAGGAATCGTAAATTGATCGATAATGGAGTAGCAAAATTTTCATAAGGTCAGGTGTTTTTGGGGGGCATATATTACGTATGCCGAACCATAAAATTCCTTGACGGGGGTTTTTTGTTGATGTAGGGGTAGATTGGAAGGAATCTAGGGACTCTTGAACCAAGAAGTGAAATCAGTCCAAGGAGACATTGACCATGGGGTTGAGCTGGGTTGATAGACTCAGGCTACCCAACTTAATTCTACTTGATAATTGCTTTAGAAAGTGACTAGAGACTGGATGCAATGGCTCAGAATCGGTCCCAATGGCCTAAATACTGTAAAATAAATTACAGGACTGATATATGTTGGTTCTATAAGTGAGATCCAATATATCACAATCCAGTGACTTGAAATGTTACCAAATGTGACTCATAATTGGAGCCAGTGGTGATTCTGCACTACAACATATTTTCGTGTTCTCCATAAAAGTAAGATACGATTTCCTAAGTGAGCAAAATCCTATCCGTGGTCACCTTCCTGATCGAACGGTGTCTATTAATCAATACTATTCTATACCTATCCATTTTATGTAGATTATATGACTTCTCCGTATTTTATTTCGTAATATTACCACATGGCTTTGTATGGCACGTCCTTTGAATCGAAATATGTTCGCGTTATTCATAAATAAAACGACTAAGTATTCAGACAGTATCCGTTGTGAAATTCACGGTCGCATCACTTTCGTAAAAAACAGGGTTGCGAATGAATACCTATTCATTTATTATTATTGCAACAACGCTGTTGTGACCTTAGTCTGCCCACTGGTTCTTTAGATAGGTATGCAGGGAGATTTGTCTCGAATTTAGTTAACGGACTTGATGTGTCAGGCTACTTAGTATAACCTTGAGGATGTTCGATATATAACTAATTTGCAGGCGGAGGACCATCCTATTTGCTGATGAATGATCTCTGCTAGCAGTGATTGATTGGTAAGAGGAGATACATCTATATTCGAAGTCAATTTAGCTAAAATGAGTACACGATCAAATGTGTCAATAATTGGACCATAAATCACAATAAATTAGAAAGATATTACTATATGCCAAGATGCCAAGAAAATGAGATACAGGACTAACGTTTAAATTACAATAGATTATAGATTAAACGGAAGCCTGTGATTAAAGAAATAAGGCAGTTATATAAACTAAATGTTAATAAGTATTGATTAGGAAGTAAGCGAACTAATACCCCAAAACATAGCTTTCATTGTTTGTTCTTTCCGTATTCTCTTCACTACAGACACTAACCATGCAATTGTAGATTGGTCAGTGTCATTAATGTGTATTTTTCCACACGTTCTATTATTTTATAATTCTATATTAAATGTGACTTTTATTTTGCTTTTACTTAAAGGTTACTGGTTTAATATTGTGGATATGAAAGCTTTTACAGCTCTTCGTGGTACATCACTCAAATCTTTTCGTATTCCTAGTTGTTGTATTTCTATCGATGATCAATCTTGGCCATTTAATTTGAATGAGAATTTAAATGAAGTGAGTAATTGAAATATCAAAACAATGATTTATCTCTACATGTTGAATGAAAGTATATAATAAAGTAGTAACCTGTGCATTACTTTTTTTTGTTCAAGAATATTTACTACAAGCGATGTGTATTATAGATTAAATCAACATGAATCTTGGTGAAATAAGTTATTCAGTCATACACAATGTAAATAACCTGATACATACATGCACTGGTTCAAGTTGCTATCCCACATTAACACAGAGAGATAAAATTATTTGGAGATAAATTGAAGAGTATTAAACAGTATCAGTGGTGTTAGAGACGATTAGGTAGAGAAAAAGAAATAAAAAGTATGAGAAGATCCCGAGACTCGAATACTAAGGGAAGACTAGGAGTGGATCTTTTCGATTTAGTAAGTTTTCAAACACTCCCAAATGCCCTGGTATGACCGAGAGTGGGATGGGCCCGCCCTCCCTCTCGAAATACTCTCACACGGCCACGCGTATATAGCCTCTGCCAGGGAAGTCCTACTCACTGCCTTCTCGTGGCGGGGGTGTTGTTTACGAAAATGAGAGGACGAAAAGCGAATGTCTGGCGCTTTAACCGGATCACAAACCAATGGTGCACATGGGCTCCAGTATCCTGCGGGATCAAATGGCGTATGAACCAATTGTTGGTCACCGGCTTCCATGGGACTGCATCTCCTCATGATGCTCCATTGCCTTGTGGGTCAGACCTTTAGGTCGAAGGATCGGGGTGTGGCCCCCTAAGAAAACCACCTGCTTCGGTCTGGGTACCCGGGCAACATCCCAGCCCTCAGACAAATTGAATGATTTATGTGGCGCATATGTATATGGTGCCTCCTTGTGTTTAAATAAATAAATAAGTTCTGCCTATTTTGTTAATTACAGTCTCCCAAAATCATATCCACTTTTGGCTAGATCTCGTACAAATATTTTCTATTTTACGGTGTGATGTGATCTGTTTGGATTATATATAAACCCAGTGTGTTTGAAATATATGATTTATATCGCGGAAGCTCAGATCTGTGTTCTGGACTTAACATATAGGGTAAATGATCAGTCGGGACTCTAAGTCGTTTGTTCAGGTGTACGCGTCATTTGTTGGTCATATAAATCCGAGTATCTAAATTTGGCAGTCGTATTCGCGGTAATCATATAAGCTAAGTACGTAACAATAACCTCACCTTCTTATCTCTTGTTCTAATCGTTTTCCTTATAGTTTTATCATTGTTATTATGCATTTCTTACAAATTATATTTAAATCTGACTTTTACTTATTTTTAAGTGGCAAATTCTTAAAGTTTGGTAAATTGAAAACAAAGTAAAGACGAATAAAGAGCATTTTTTTCTCAATCATATTATTAGTATCAGAAGGGGTATTTGTGGAGATTGTAATAAGTTCAATAGTTGAGATCATGAGTCAATTCAAGCTAGACCACCATGAAAGTATTGGACGACCGTTTCGTCCTATTGTGGGACTCCTCAGTAGTGCCCATCCACGATCTCGCTCGCGGGACTCGAACCCAGGACCTATCGGTCTCGCGCGCGAGCGCTTAAAAACTAGACCACTGACTCTGCATCCAACGCTGTTAATGTCTAACTTCAAATAATCCACGTAATTAAGCAACACATCCACCATTGTCATCAGTGAGTTACTATCTCACAACTGACCCGGTTGAACTCCACTGGTCACTGCTTCTCACTAGAACTTCAGGATATATCTTGAAGCCAGTCACTAGTGAGCATATGTTGATTAGTATCAGAAGGGTTTTGTGAAGATTTCAGTAATTTCAATAGTTGAGATCGTGAGTCAATTGAAGCTAGACTGATAGGTCCTGAGTTCGAATCCCTCGAGGCCGGGTCGTGGGTGCACACTGTTGAGGAATTCCACAACATGACGAAAAAGCCGTCCAGTGCTTCCAGGTTTTCCATGGTGGTTTAGCTTCCATTGACTCATAATCTGAACTATTGAGGTTTTATTTATTATTTTAATAGTAATGAATTGTCATTAAAAATTTCATTGATTAATTATTGATCCATAACACGAATGATCATTAATCATGAGAATTGATTCTGATTAACTTGTTAATTCTCTATGATTTTTCATTCAAATGACAATTATTCCTTTTGTAATGTAATTTCTGTAACTAATACTCATTGAACTTAATTGTTATGTAACTGAATGAATTCAGATATGATTTTATCAATATATCACTATTACAAGATTTATCTCACTTTCATTTCATAAATAAGTATTGTAAAAGTGTTGTATATTAATCATCAAATCTATCTAATTGGTATTGATCTTATTTCTTATTAAGAAGAGTCTCTCAACTATTTATAGTTCGGAATTATTATAGTTCATCTCAAAGGATAACAAATTAAAACATTGGTTTCATTCACTATTACAGGTTCAATAGTTATATCAATAACCATTGTAATCTATTATAAATTCATTATCATTAAAAATCATTCTTAACTGTTTCAATGGTTGCACTTAAGCAAAAAAAAGCTTAAAAAGTAATTGGTTTTATTCAAGATTTTTGTTATAATACTCTAGTTACTTTGCTTTTCTTCTATCTTCCTTTGTGTTAAATTCAGAGCTTAGTAACATTCATTAGTTTTTCATTGTTGAATGTCATTCTATTATAAGAATAGAATTATGATAACTGCATACTGTGAATAGAAGACCAAATCAGAACATTTTAATTGGTTGATTTTCGATTAATCAATCCTAATAGAAAGATTGTGAAAAAAAAGTGTACTGAACTCTTCTCTCATAATTTCGATATAAATTCTTATACTTTTACCATACATTTATCATATTGTTTCGAGTATTTGGAATATATTTTGTTTCAATCTCATTCTTTTGTTGATTTGGGGATGAGTCGAATAAGTGCTGTAGAGGAGTTTATTTATTTAAACACATGAACATTGGTACAAAGGGATACCGAATACACATGCGCCACATAAATCATATATATTTAGTTATTGTTACTTAAAATTAGTTCATATATAAAAATAACTGTAATCATAAGTTTCCTCTTCTATTTAACATTGAATCTATCAACTTGGTTGAATAGGATTATCAATACTTATTATCGCATATAGATTCTAAATGAAAGCCGAATATATAAACTTGTATATGGTGCATATTCTACATGCTGATCCAATTTTTTCCCTCTTAATGTTTTAACATAGTTTAAATCAATTTATCATATATTAGAAGAAGACACTTAGAATCTAAATATTAGTAATAATGCCTAGAGTTAGTACGTTTCTCTCAATAATTATAATTTTATTTTTCTCTTTAAATATCATGTCACATATTTGCTTCTATTTTTCTTTCTGTCATTTACAATAGAATGATTAAATCAGTTGTCTCTCTGCATTATTATTTAGTTAATCTTTGTTCGTCTTTAATTTTGTATATGTGTGTATAAAATTATTAGGTCTATATATGATTGACTTGAATGTAATATCTACTTTGTGTAGTCGCTTGTTTTTCAAATTCTTATACATTATTTAATAATCTTGACATTATCTGACAATTGTGAAGTGTTGTTGTGTATATTATCAGTAGTGTTTTCTTCTTTATAAATTGATTAAATTGATTTAGTTAATTAAAAAAAAAAGTAAGTTTCCTGTTTGATTGATTGCTGGATGATTTATTTTTAATGCAACTATGTTGTATTTATTCACAATTTCATTGGAATTGCATCCTCTAATCTATGTAGTTTAATTGTCAAGCTTTCATTATCTTTCTTGGTGTCATCATCAGGACAAACTTCAAATAGGAGTAAGCTACAAATTTGAAGTTTGAGTTTATAATGTTGTTTATAAAGATAATGAAAGTCTCACGATCAGGTTATTCAACTGAGAGAACAAATTCCATTAAAATTAACCTCCACAATTGCAAATCCTTAAAACAATCTCAAAATTTATTAACAAGACTTTATTAAAATAGATTTTTCACAGTTTCTCTCATCTCTAACTTGGTGTTTTTGTCTCATTCTATCTCTTGTCCCATTATTTTGTCGAAATAATCAATATTAAAATAGATAAGTTTCTCTGTTTTCTCTTATTCTAAATAATTTCTAACGAATTTCTCTACATTTCTAATCACAGTGAAAAAAATATCAGTAGTCAGTGACAATCTTTATTTCTACTATGTATTATATGTTCTCATGTATAGATGAGAAATATATATTCAGTTGATTATAGTCTCCATCTAACATTGAAAAGTTCACATGGGAATACTCAATGTATTGGAAAGTATTTATAATTGTCCAGTTGTATCATTAATATTAATAACTGACATTTTCATGAATTTTGCCACGAAAAAAAAATTCTGAAAAAATAAATCAGTCCTTAATCAACTTAAAAGTAACTAATTTATTAGCAATACTGTTATTTTTGTGTATATTTTCGTTTAATATCCAAAGATTCTTATAAACAATATGTAATTAGAACATTGAATCCATGTTCAATGTATCATTCAGTTTGAACAATGATTTTTATCAATAAAATTGCCTTTTTATCATTTTAAATTGATATCATGAATGGATGAATGTTAGATCACTATTGAAAACCTGAAAGCACTGGACGGCCGTATTATAAATGGCCTGCATGTTAAATGTGATACATCTTAAATCCTATTTCTGTTGGGATTTTTTATAACACAACTTAGTCGTAGTGTAGCAAAACTTGAATTCATTATTCACAAATGGCTTTAAGGTTTGTTTTAACGGAAACCTATGAGATACATGGAAAAATCCCTTTCATAGTTATTCAAATAAATATGCCTAGTTTTGGTTCAAATAAATATACATATGTTACTTCTGTATTTGGAAAGACTGACCTTTGTGTTGTTATACAATATGGCTTACCATTGACTTGTAAGCTTGGTTGACTTCAGTTATATTATATGATGATAAATAACTTAAAGATTTTCATTTCACATTATTCTAGTTGTCTAACCATATCTCCCTATGGAAAATACAAATAAAACAGGTAGACACATAGAACATGTTTAATTTGTGATTTGATTGTTCGCAATTTACTCCTTTAGTTTCTTAACTGACAATTTTAAACAAACTATAGACATGATTATGATTAAAGTTGACAATGTTTATCGATGTAGGAAATATAAGATTTATTCGTCTTCTTTTATATCTACACATTCCTAATAAATTAATGTGTAATATTTATAAGCATGACATTTTCAATAGAAAAGGCCTCATATGATTAACACAAATTTGTTTTGTATTTTAATTGTTATACAATAATTCTATAGTAAACTATGATCACATGTGTTTACATCGATTTGTTTGTTAGGAAATAGTTGTTTATTTTTATTTGTTGTAAATATGCTTGTACTTCCATACACAATCCTTATGATTTGTTTACAATATGATGATTATTTAAGGAGATAAGAATTTGAAGAGACAATTTATCATTTTTGATGGAGTTTTGTTCTCTAAGTTGAATGGTTTAGTCATGGATCTTTCATCGTTCTTCTGAATGACATCATCAGCACAAACTTTAGAGAACGAAAGTCTATCAAAATCATCCACCTGAGCTACAAATCTTCTCCAATATCTCAAAAGGCAATTTATCAAGAACAAAGTAATGTATGATATACTAGTCGTTATTTACTCTGAAGTAGTGACTTACATTAAGTCACGAAATATTAGAACCACAATTTTTTTTACTCTCAAATTTGGTATACTGGTTGGTTATGAAAAAAGTAATAGACTGAGTTAATACTCATGTTATATAAATTATAATGATCATCACCCCATACTAATGCAGTAATTTAGAAACTTCTTCGTTACAGTACTTGGTTCGTGAGACATAAGAAAAAAATTCACATGATGAGATTGCAATAAATCAAGTAACTTGTTAAGCTAAATGGTTTCATATTGTTTGAAAGTAATCTTCGGATAAAATGTCAACTGGAAACCACAACAGCATTGAACAATTAATGTTTCGGATCCTTCAGTAGTACATATTCATCTTATGTAATCCATACAATTATTTTAATCACCAATAATCATGTAATCACACTGAACTGGCTTTGTCATTAGTTGATTACCAGTTTTAGTAAAAACTATGATATCCACAGTCATTTAAATCAAAGGGTGAGCTGGTCACGTCGGAGTGCTAGAATGAATGACAATTTCCATGCGTGATTTCTCCATATAAACATGGCAAGAACAATGGTTCTCTTATAATTTCACCTCCGTGCCTCTTCGGTGTATATATTAGTGAATATTTTGTAAATGGTGATGAATTTTCTCTAGAAGTATTCATAAGCGTTTGAAAGATTCAGGAAGAAAGTTTTAGAGTGAATAAATCTACGGTGAGATTAGATAGCTATATCTCTGCAACATTAAGGTCTAAAAATCGACAACAAGTCTTGAAAGGCTAATAAATTGTAATAAGTTTGATGACTTGCGTTGTGAATTACCTTTGATTTAAGTAAGCTATACAAATTCGCTGCTATAGTAAAGATTCTGTAAATAAAGATGAATTTTACCTAGAAGTATCTTTGGCCATTTTAAAGATTCAGGAATAAACTGTGGTCGTGAATAAATCCGAAGTGAGGTTAAATTACGTTGTTTAACGATATTTCTGTGAAATTAAGTTTGGAAAACTGATAATAAGCATCGAGAAACTAACAGTTCTTATGAAATTCCGTAAACTGTGTCAGGTTAGATAACTTGTATTGCAAAATACTTTTGATTAATACAAAGTCTTTCATTCACTGAATTGGTTATTTTCGCCATTCTAGTCCAAATTCATTTCTTTTCGTCACTTGTCATTCTCCTGTATCATCGAATTTCTGAAATATACGTTCTTCATTTCATTTCGTAGTCCAATTTTCGTATCTACGTTTTTATCAACGGCATTTGTCAACAAAATACCTCAAAAGTAAATAGGATGCATTTCATTAATGTCAAAAGCATTCAATCGTTATGTAATCAGTCATAGGCGCTAAAGTATTCAATTCCAGTATTAGAAGCGATACAACTATATAAAATTCATTCACTAAAGTAATACACACACACACACACCTGTATTCATTCTTCAAATAACATTTAAATTACTAATCACATATTGTTTTATTTTTATTTCTTCCTCAGATGTCACGCAATGTAGGCTACAAATGGATACCAATGGAAGATTTAAACTTGCCCTCTGCTGTTTGGAATCATCAACCTCCTGATCCTACCGCGTGTTTCTATGAAATTCAAAATTCTTGTGGTCTAGACAGTGTTAATGATTAGTAAATATCACTAAAATCAATTGTTTTATCCATGTTTATCAGTGTTAATTATTGTCATTAATTCAGTTGCATTATAACAAACCATTTATCTCATATTTATATTTTATTTGTTTAAATAAATATCTTATTCTCGTTACTTTTCACGTATTATGCTTTGCATTTTCTGGTTTCGTTGACTTTTTTCTTAGTAAATATTTTAAGAGATACTTTTGGCAATGTCATTTTTGTTGGTCCGCTAACTTCTCTGTTTCTTATCTTGTGATAGACTACTACAGATAAAGAGTAATATTCTTGATATCTAGACAGTTTGACTCACCATTCATTCTGATAATCATCTAATGTGTATTGTTTATTCGCGTCTATTTTTTAATTCTTTTGTTATTTAGTATACTTTCTTATATGCTTTATAGAAATTGGATTGGAAACTCACTTCACTGGTTCCTAGTACTACTTTTATCCATTATTATGTGTAATGACACTTTAAGATATCTCTTCATTTTATTTGCATATGTTCTTGTTGAAGTGTAGAGTATCTTTCCATTTTTCGTCAGGCACACAATATATTTAGTTTTGTTTTTGTTCTGCTTATCTTTAACTTTTAGCTTACCGTCATTGTTGTGATTGTCTTCGTCGCTGTATCATCTTCATATCTGCTTCAATGTGCATGTTTTTTTTATTCACTGTTTTACTTAAACATTTAGCTTAGAAAATATCAATTATGTTTAGTGGAGAAGGGGGGCTAGCAAAAAAGCAGAATATTTAAAATTCTATAAAATTGGGGAGATATTCATTGTACCTTTTAAATTGTTTGCTATTAATAAAAATGGCTTGTGTTCTTATCTTTCTTCTATATGAAACTAGTGTTCTGTGATACTGTCTAAACTATGTCGACTGTTATATCATATATGTAAGCTGGCAGATCTTGTGATATTCTTTGCAGATGCAGGGTTCGAGTTGATGAGGATCAGTGAAGTGGAGTCGGTCGTTTACTTTAATTAGTGGTATGGTCCACATAGGGTGTTAACGTTTCAAATTCACACGTGAGCATTTTCGGATGAGTTTCATATTCGAGCATGGCTGAATATAAAATAAACGGACTATGCTATTGTCTGACTGAGTGTAAGCTAAACTAAGTTGGATTCTGATGGAGGCAAATTAGACATTTATTGTTCTGTTACGTTTTTAATTTGGTAGCTGGGTTTATTTGATGGGTTGAGTTTTCGCTTATGTGACCGAGTAGACAATTTCAGTAATATAAACAGTTCTGCATTTAATAAAGACAATTCAATAGAAAGTACGAACCACTGACTACAGTATCTTATCTCACTGCACCAGCTATTTTAGGAGGCAGCACGGTCTATGAGTAATAACTGTCCTTGCAATATATTAGCAAGGGAAACAACTAACCTGAATCTACAATAAGCGTTTGTATAGTTATTCGTGAAAATAATTGTTTGAATGAACAGTAGTTTGTACATCATTGACGATATAAAAATTCCCAAATCGGTAGCTACATATAAATTGTGAAGACTGGAAAAGTCCATGAACACATTGGGATATATTGTGTTCGTATATATGTGTTAAATCCCCGATTCAACTATGCTTAATAATTATCCCGCCATAGCACTGAGCTTTAGTTCCGTATGGATACAACTATCTATTAAATAGATTTCAGACATACTTGAAAAGTTATTTACATCGAAAGTAAAGGTTGTGGATTAGACTAAAGCCACATTTCAGTAGTTCAGTTCTTACTTTCTTGAGGGGAAAGTTAATTAAGCTGATACCCACTTTTAGCCTTAAGTTTTTATGATAATCTGTGATGACGACTAGTCTTACTGGGATTTCGATTTTTACTGAATGTCCCGGTACAACAGACTGTGAATTCTTCTCTGAAGACTTTCATATACTCCGCAGCTCTGAGTGGCTTCTAAGTTCGTTTATCTATCACTAAACATTTCGGTTGGGAGGTCTCGTTGTTTCGATTGGCGTGTGCATGCTAGCGTTGCTAAAAATCCCTCCATGTATATTCTCTGCGTGACAGAAGTCATTTGCTCCGTTTATATACTGTGTCATCTTTTTTATTGTCTACAATAATGTATGGCGCACTTATCATATGGTTTATTTGAAATTATTAATACTGACCTGTCCAGGCAGTTATAGTAGATCTCATCAGAAATGTCGCAATTTTTACAAAGACTATTGGTATTGTTCTAAAAGCTAACATAATAGCAGAGGGTTATGACAACAACGAAGCTCAAGAGGTCACAACACTGCAGACAATCTGAACTACCTCCGTGCGACTAATGGATTAGTAATTAATCAACTAAGAGCAGCAACAATATGCCTGGCTTCTGAATAGACACAAACAGTGAGGTCTCTTGTTTTTTCTTGAGTGTTTGCCGCAGCAGACTCGGATCTACAATAGGTTTCTTAAAAATATATAGATTTTTAGCCGACGACAGGAAACGCCATTCGAAACTTGATGTAACGTTAAGTTGCACAGTGTCACAATCTTCTCCCGTAACAACTGGAGTGTCTCAGGATATACCCGCAAAATTTCTAACTCAGGCTAGAGACGATCCTCAAAATTCCCTAAGTAAGCTTAAAGTAACTCATTTTGTTAAGTCGTACCTGTGTTTGGGATACCCAGGAATTTAGCCTTCGGAAAAATAAAAGTCGTTAAAGATGAACTCGATTATATGCTTTAATCGGGTATTATCAGTACCCCTGATAAATAAATGACCTTATCTCTATACACGATCTCTTAGTATGACAAAGTTAACTGGCGGACCGTTTGTGGATTACAAAGCTACTAAATATCGAACTGAACCAAGCAGGGACCCCGTACCTTATACCCATGATACTACATACCACCTACGGGGTACGAACATATTCACTAATATTGACTTATTCAAGGCATTTCACAGTCGCTGGGGAAAATATTCCTAATACAACCATAACTATGGCCTTTGGGTTGCTCAAGTTTGTTTGTATGTCACTTGGACTACTGAAGTTCTAAAGATTTATGGACAAATAGCTTGACGATAGGTCCTTTCTACAGATATACGTCGATGATTCATCAACTGCTGATTCTAATTTTCGATCACGCAAACAGCATGTGAGGACCTTAACTGTTAGATGAAAACGGAATGAAGGTACATATTGTGAAGTTTCTCAGACACAACAAACCCAGAATGAATCATATCGATTAAAAAGTGGTTGGATTATGTTGAACGATATTTTAATTTCATTCTGCATCCTTTGACATAACTCAGAAGGTTTCTAAGTTTAACTTACCTCTGTCGACGGCTTACACCCGATTGTGCTCAACACGTGCAGCAGCTGACAGATATGCTTAGGAAAAAACAAACGTTTTTAAATTGGTTTATGAGAATATTATGAATTCAAAAAGTCTATAAGTTCGGAAAATCATACTAACGTATCTAATCAACAATACCCTATTTTCAATAATGAAATGCGTCTCAGGTGAAGTTCCTGGTTTCTTCAATTAGCTGGCTGAAAACGTTACGGAATCGATTACGTTTTTCATAAAATACTGGTTTCAACAGAAATGAGATAATTAGCGTTCCGAAGGAAGCTTCCCAAGTTTCTCCAGTTCTCGCGATTTTACAAAACAAGTTCATCACGTTATATACGAATCAGAAATCATTGCTAGGTTAATGAAACTGAAGGAATTAAAAACACAGAATATTATGTAATGAAGTAGCTGAAAATAGATCAATGGTAATGAAGAAAGATATGAATTGAAATTGGTCAGTTATGAATGATGTAATTGTAAATTTCAGAAAGAGTTGGAATAGTGAATGACGCAATAAAGAAATAAAAGGAAGGACTTGGCGAATGATCTTACGTTGAGCTTAAGTGAGTTTCAGTTCTTTAGAAAAGAAAGACGAAGCAATTTAAGGAGACCTGAAGACTTCTGAAGATCAAGTGAAAACGTATTTTTTAAGGTGATATACTAACAGAATGGGTTTTGTGGAGAGTATAAGAAATTTCACAGGTTGAAATCATGAGGCAGTTGAAGCTAGACCACCACTGAAAACCTGCAAGCACTGGACGGCCGTTTCGTCCTAGTATGGGACTCCTCAGCAGTGCGCATCCACGATCCCGCACCACGCGGGGCTCGAACCCAGGACCTACTGGCTTCGCGCGCGAGCACTTAACCACTAGACCACTAAGCCGGCATCCAAATGTGTTAATGTCTAGGTCCTGGGTTCGAGCCCCGCGTGGATCGTGGATGCGCACTTCTGAGAAGTCCCATACCAGGACGAAACGGCCGTCCAGTGCTTCCAGGTTTTCAATGGTGGTCTAGCTACAACTGACTAATGATTTCAACCTGTGATATACTAACTTTATTTCATATATATTTATAGTATAGATCCTTCCATTGATTTTTAAGTCTACAATTGATCAGTTTGTTTTGTCATATATATACATATGTGGCTATCTTAACTCAGAACCTAGGTAGATAAGGCGATTGCACTCCGGGTAAAGAGAACTATTTTCGAGTCCTGGATACAGGCACATATAGCTGATTCCCAAATAGCACGAAACCTTCCCCTGGATTAATATGGTTCAAACCTACCAAAGCAATGCTGAGCCAAGAATGATCTTCTCAAAGTTATTTAAAATAAAATATAATGAGCCATGTAAGTTATCCTTACTAATTTGATTCTGGTGTAACACCCAGAAACTAGAGTCACAACATAGAAAAAAGGAATGTAGACATAACTTCTATTCCTTAAGAGTTGTCAAATGCTGGAACTCGCTGCCGGTCGAGCTAGTTCAAGCGACTTCTCAGGAGTCCTTCAAGAGGCAACTTGACTTATTCTTAAGGATCAAGGACAGCATCATACTATGATTTACCAATATCTTTTTCCTCTTTTATTATTAACATACCTAGGTTTTTGTCTGAAGGATTTAATGATCCCCTGCTACTAGACACGGAAGCCTGTTAAGCGAAAGCTTCTTCTATTCCATCCACAACCATTTGAACTATTTGAACATTGAAGGACAAGCGTACTTCTTGATTTGTGGGTCACTTGTTTCTGTATTGGCAGATATTTCTAGTAGGTTTTAACTTTATTTGTGCCTACAAAAGCCTATTTTTTAGACACTTTACACTTACTTGTGACTCAATAATACATCTTGTTTAATTTTAAACTGACAAATGTGAGACGCACTTAAGTGCGTTAGTTATTTGGTTTTAATAATCTTAAACGATATTGAAATGATAATTTCTTGACGTATCAGTGAGATCTAAAATAATATAATTTATCACTAATGGTTATCCAAGTTCTCTCAAGATTAGCTACTGAACACAGGTATACCTATATCACTAGAAATGAAGATTTTAACGGTAAAATCTACGGGGTTAACGTAAGAACGAGATTTAATGTATCCATATCCTAAACCTAGTGTATTTTCAAGTAATAAACTGTTCATTAGATTTGTATTGAGCTAAATTCACTGTATCGACAACAAGGTTTCTGTCTTTCAGCCGAATGAGAAATGATATTTTCCAGTATAACGCTCAAAATCTTGTTTGGCTGCAATGTATCCGCAGTGAACTGTCCTTTTTATCTCTCACGTACGACTCCGAAGGAAAGGTGGAGTATGAACCCAAAGTATCACGTAGATTGATATTGTTGGTAATGTGCTTTGATGAATGTGTTGTGTGAACTGGATATTCTGCACCTCAACACCATTCATATCCAAGTATATGGTTATCTATATCTCACAACAGGTTCAGTGGTAGTGATACGTAAGTCAAAACAAAGTAATAGGTGCTTTACTGTTGTTAGATGTTAGAAGTTTAAATAAAGAGGTGGGATTACATATTCTTCAGGATTAAGCATTCTGAGTAAAAAAGGAGCAGTCTGCGATCTGTATTCTGGACAGAAATATTCAATACATAACATTGTTGTCAAAGTCTAAAGCAGTACTTTCAATACATTCTAAAATAGATTTGTCGGTAGCAGTAATAACTGTCTTTGTCATATCTCTAAACCTCTTGTGGGATAAATCTAACCATAAAGTAATCAGTTACTTGATGGTATCCAAGTATTTAAAATTGATTGTATTTAGGGGAAAACTGGGGAACTCGTCAGTCCCTAATATGACCTTCTATTATGATAAATAGATTGACCCTGTTAACGAAGACTTTTATCACTTCGTAAAGCGTACTCGCCTTTTGGAAACTTCAACATACAGTTAAGACAATGTCTCTTAACAACACATATACTGTGTACGTAGGGTTAGCACGAACTTGTGCATTATATATTATGGCGGCCAGTTTTACAACTGAATGTATTCTAAATTCATGACAGTGTTTGTATTACAACATTTTATGAGTTTAAACACGTGCTCTAGGTTAGAGGGGATCTCTTGTCGAGCCTCTTCAAAGATGACTGATGGCAATTATTCCACTTGCGTTAATCGTTGAGTCGAATTCGGAAGTCGCCATGATAAGTGATATCCTTCCTTGTTGAGAATTAACAGTTATCTGAAGATAGTTGCTGCAGTGGGTTATCATTTTCTGTCCTCTGAGCTTCATCAACTTAAGATTCACATGAGTACCTTTCACTTTAGTTTATATTGCCTACTTAGACATCAAACTATCTTCCTACTATTACTACATTTATGTTTATATTTTTAAAGAGTGATGAAAGCTGTCTTTAGAGTTCATCTTTTGTTTCAGCCGAAGTTTAGTTAGTGGAAACATAGAAACAACGGCATGTTGTTTTAACATTCTGAGTTCCTACTGTTCCGTTTACTTAAATAGTGCGCATGTGACTGTCTGTCGAAATACGGTGTAGGAAGGTATACTACGCTTTTGAACTTAATTCCTAACCTAACTCAGACAGGCCATGGTAAGTACTTGACCGTTGCTGCTACCTTGACGTGGTGGTCGGGCTTGCCTGTCGTAATGAACCAATCGAGCTTTACAGGCTGGGACAATTGTTCCTCAAGGTCCTACCATACCAGACAGGTCGGTTGAAATGCGGTAAGACTTAAAGCAGCAAATCCAAGGTCCGAAGGCGAAGTCGGACTTCTGACTGTACAGATATGTAACGTCAGTAAAGTGTTTTCTTCAGACAATCGGTATAATAGCGATGCTGCCTTCCCATAAGGAGGGTTGGGGTTGGAAAAGGTCAACCCTAAAAGTGCACATCTCGCCTTATCTCACTGTTATCCGTCTCCGGCTGTGAGGTTCAAATAAGTAGGGAGCTAACACGAACAGTACTCACAAAAAGGTCGTGTGTGGCCGATCTCAGGCAGTTGTTCCTTGGACACTGCAGTCACGCTCTCAGGTCACTAAGACCAACTCTGACTTAATTTTCTTTTCAAATACCTCTAGAAGGATCTTTACACGGTGTGGAAAACTAGGAAGTAGTCGAACGCGTCGACAACACTTACCTTGGAAGCCCCTAAATACCCTGGTAGGGAGAGTCTGCTCTCCTTCTCGAAACGCTCCCACATGGCCACGCGTATATAGCCTCTGCCAGGGAAGTCCTACTCACTGCATTCTCGGGGCGAGGGTGTTGTTTACGAAAATGAGAACGAAAAGCGAATGTCCGGCGCTTTAACCGGCTTCCAAACCATTGGTGCACATGGGCTCCAATATCCTGCAGGAACAAATGGCGTGTGAACCAATTGTTGGTCACCGGCTCCCATGGGACTGCATCTCCTCACGATGCTCCATTGCCTTGTGGATCAGACCTTCAGGTCGAAGGCTCTCGGAGTGGCCCCCTAAGAAAACCACCTGTTTCGGTTTGAGCACCCGGGCAGTATCACAGCCCTCACACATATCGAATGAGATTTGTGTGGCGCATATGTATTTTGTGCCTTCTTGTACGGATATCTATGTGTTAAAATAAATAAATAAACAAATAAAAATGGGTTGGTGCCTGACGAAATCTCCTCGCGGGTTCAGAAGGCTCATTTGGCTTTTGCGAACTTTCGTCACCTATGGCGAAGGCGAGATATCCGTCTATCCACTAAGGGATGAGTATACTGTGCAGCACTTCATTCTGTCCTATTTAGGGCTACGAAACGTGGCCACTAAGGGCAGAAGATACTCGTAATCTACTAGTATTTGACCACAAATGTCTTAGAAATATTACTCTCATCTGCTGAGATCACGGGATAAGTAATACCGAGGTTAGACACAGGGTATTAGGGAATGATGGTACATCAGTTGTGAATCTTCATCGACTGAGATGGTTGGGCCACGTGTTGCGTATGCCCGAGCGCCAAATACCACGACCTGCAATGCTAACCGGTGTTGGGGATGGTTGGGAGAAATTTAGCGGTGGCCAAACCAAAACGTGGCATCAGTGATTAAAGTCACTAACTTCTCTCTCTTTCTTCTCTTAAACTAAGAGATTAAGATCGCTTCATATCTCTCTTTCTACATACTAAATCTTTCTTCCTGTACTGTATCCTTATTGCAATCTTTCTTTTATATATTACCACCATTGACTTAAATACTCTTATGAATGCGGTGTTCATCTCGTTGTGCTAATGCGGTTTGGCAACTTGGACCGATGCATTTATATGCCTGGTCCTACGTTGTAGCTGACTGACTGACTGACCATTAAAAGACTTGAGATAAAACGTCGTCTCGTTCACGTGTACATTGTTTTTTTAATGTAAATCGTAATAACTATAGCCGATACAGACTCTTGTAAGATTGCATATCCTTTATAACTGACCATATCATTTTTGACATAGATTTGAAGTCCCTTGATTCCTATGTGATGATCTGTATGATTCTGAAACAAATAAATATGAAATAATTTTCACTAGGACTTCAGCATAAATATCTGTAAATAGTAGTGAAATTACAAAGTGGCTCTTATTAAATCTGACGTTTATTGATCTTAAAAAAATAATGTAGTTTCGTAATGAAATGGCTTTACACTAATTAGTCAAATCTCTAAAATGGGCAACTTTTTTTTTACCTTAAAATGATTCGTTACATTTTCTCGTCGAGATACTTATCCTACCACTAACTATAGATAAATTCATCATCGAATAGTCGACAATGTCATCGAAGATCCAGCTATTTCGAAATATTCTCCGTGAACTTCGACATGTTCGAAAGAATCAAAAAGCGGTTAGTAATTTTTTTAGAAATATTTTATTGACAAATTATTCACTTTCATTTAGCCTTTTGACTATTCACCAGTAATGCAATACGTTATTTCTGAATTTAGAAATAATCATTTAACCGATGCTCAAAAATGTGCTAGAGAAAATGAAAGTGTTCATCTAGCTGAAACATATTTAAATTATTTGCAGAATTTACGAAAACATTCAGTAAGTAACTATTTTTAAGTGGGTCATTATTTATTTATTTCTCTATCTGTATACGTTTTACTGTAAATTTATTTTCATCTTTAAGCAAACGAATACAATCTATCAGTATAGGGGTTGTAGAGATTATTAAGTTTTTGATTGAGATCATGAACCGATTGGTGTTAGACTAATCCTTGGACTAGTTGATGTCAGACACTAACAATAAAGAAAGAAGTTGAAGTTAGATATTAACACCGTTGGATGCCGGTTCAGTGGTATACTGGTTAAGCGCTCACGCGCGAGACTGATAGGTTCTGGGTTCGGATCTCGCGGGGGGTGGGATCGTGGATGCGCACTGCTGAGAAGTCCCATACTAGAACTAAACGTCGTCCAGTGCTTCCAGGTTTTCCATGGTGGTCTAACTTCAATTGACTCATGATTTCCACTATTGAAATTACTAAAAATCTCCACAAAAATCCCTTCTAATAAAGAAAGGACAAATATATTATTAGAGTAACGTGAATTTATTTCATGGATTCTTCTCAGTTGCTTAGAACCTTAAGCTATAGTATTAATCATTAAAACAATTTGTACATATTTTACATCAGAAATATTTAGAATAAACTGAGTTAAATTATGAAGGTCGAATAATTTTAAGAGTTAAAATTATTCAAATGTTGGCTTATTTATGGATCGAATATTTAAATATTCTAAAAGAGTATGGAAACAAGAAAATATATTTTCTTCTTGAATCAGAAGATAGATTATGTAATATGAACTAGTTGAGTAAAGCTCAAAAGTGAGAATTAGAATACTAGAATTTTGATTTTAGTTTATGAAGAAAATAAAAACAAAGCCTTACGTAATGATCTCACACAAAATAAGGTCACCAGAATAAAACAAGATTTATAACTGTTTCCTTTTGGATTTATAAATTCGGTTCAAATCTCTTTATTGCAACAGCTTCGGCAAAACATTACAGTCTGGAATCCCTTTATTTGTTGATTATTTTGAACGATTTCACAATTTCAACAACATACCCACCATCGAGTAAATGATGAGCGATCGCACTATAAAAAACCTACTTGATTAGTCTCAATTTTTGAGAAATATGATCAGAGATACGGACACAAACTCTCCATTCTATTCTTCTGATGTATGTGTTTTGGCACATACATATAAACTGGTAAACACAATTAGAAGTAGTATAAGCCGGGTATATGTTCATATTTAATTGTCTCAATGAGCATTTAGTTTGATATATGGACACCAACTTGGTTGCTGAATAAGTTCTTCTTAGTATTGCCTTTAGTCTAAAATCAATCCTTCCAGCTATTTCATCACGTTTAAGAATATAGGTTTCTTAACTGTAGGATATTTCATTTCCTTTTTTCAAAAACGCCCCTTATTTACTTAGGAATTTTTGCGAATAATCGTTTTATTAAATCACTTAAAATTTACTAAGTAATATAGAAAATATATAGTTTGTTATATACTTATGTCACATTATACAATCTGGGTTAGTTTTTTTTAGTCACTCATAGTCAAATAGAAAGTAGATTTCATTTTCTACATGCAAGGAATCTTTTGTCATCTTTTTTTCGGAACGGTAATTAATAATTTCTACATTAGTAATAATAATTTAAAACTCAACTTATTCAATTCAGTAATGAAAACAACATAAGTATCTTTTCCATGATAAGTAATATATTATGAAAAGAAAGTACCTAACTTTGTACTGCATCCTTATTAGTATCCTTTTTTATTTCTCAGGAGCTCGTGGAATTGTATAAATCCAAAGAAAAAACAACTGAGGAAGCCGCTAAAATGGTTGGATTAGCTCTACCAGAAACAAATTATCATGAATAATAAGAATACTTACAATATTTTGCCTAGGATATATTCCATTGTATATTTTCATTGTTAGATATTGTTTCTACCATGAATTCATTAGATGCTCGAATAGGCTAATAAGGCAGTATCCATACACTTTTGTTCATATTGTTTCAAAATTCGATTTTGATTTCAAATAACCAATAGTTATCCTATTTGTCTTCTGTAAAATAGTTTTTCAATAGAGAACATTTACACACATCATAAAAATCAACTGGTTCCTGTTGATTTCGCTTAGTTTTTTACTAACCCTTTCGTTGAATGTTCCACAATCTTAAATAAGGCATAAACTATCACCGTATCTTGACCCGGCTGTTATTTATTACTCTATAAAGAAATACTGACTAATCATTATCCATGAACAAATTTCATATCTCTTAACAAATTTACATCACTATTAGTACGGAATTTCTGGGTAAGAACTCGATTTATTTGAGTGGGTTCAATTAACAGCTTGAGGGATTTTAGGTAAGTAGGTTTGAAATAGATAAACTCTATATGTAGAATCTTAAAACATTCAGATATTTTTTGAGTGTCACGAGTATGACCAGTAACCTTGAAAACATATGGTAGTAAACTATGAGTCCTGTTGTTAGAAAAGACGAGTACTTTAGAAAATTTTGAGTACTGCAATTTCGTCACTGTTTCAGCGTATCAGTTTGGAAGATTAATATGAGTTTCTGTCGTTAATTTATGATTGATATAATACTTCGTCGTTTATATTGTGAACAGTGGTACAGAGTCGTGTGTAGATTCCCTAAAGTATAATTAAACGTCCTGGTAAGTACCCCTTTCTGTCCTACCAATGTAATAACTCCCGTAAATATACATCAGATGATAAACTCAGTTGCGAATTACGGTATTTGGTGGTCTCACTGTTTTGTGTTATAAATCTTTTATTTTTGGTTTTAGTAAAGTACTCATGGGTGTTTCATTAATTTGCTGACACCATTGAACAAAAATATAATTCTTTGGTTCTTAGGAATATGAAATTTCTATAGAAGGATAAGATTGCATCTTAAAGTGATTTAAGACTCTAATTATCAGACAGGGTTACGTAATAACCACGGGGTTAGATAACAATTGAAAGATAAACATAAAAATCATAATAATAACTGTATAACAATCATTAAAAATTGTTAAGGGATGATGATAACTGATTACGGTTTAAAATTACAAAACATTAATTTAAAAGAAAACCAACGAAAATTTGCTGCAGAAGGGAGATTGAACGTATCGCTTTTGCATGCAGAGTTATAGCTTAAATTGATGGATCTGCAGTGAATAAGTTTCTGACTGTGTGGGATTATTTTAAAAGAAGACTCCTTCGGAGCGACGTTTCAGAGTCAATAAGTTGCTTCTGTATTGAGCTTGTAACTGACAATTTTTGAAATGATTCGGAATCTGGTTGAGGTCCATTTGTTCACGAATAATGAGAGTATCATCCATATATTTTTTTATGTAAATGAAATCTCAATTATTGGTCGAAGTACCGTATTTTCCAAATTGGTCACGCAACAATCAAGAGGTAACACAATGGTGAACCCATTACAACTGCATCTGTTTGTCTAGAGAAATCAATAAATCGGAATCGCATGTTGAGTAAATCCTAGAAGTGGGTCTTTTAGATAATGTTTTGGGATACAAATACCAAGGTTAGTATTTTCAGTATATTTGCATAAAAAACATAGTTTTTGTGGGTGGAACATTTATAAAGAGAGATATGACATCCATTGAGATCATTTTTCTACCATTTACGTTGATAACTCTAATTGAGTCGATAAAGTGAGATGAATCAATTGAGGTGTACCTATTGATGTGACTTATGACGGGTTTTAAATTATCAGCTAACCAACTAGCAATCAAATGGTACGAAGGGTTATTCATATCAAGCATAAAACGTAGGGAGACATTCTCGTGAACATTTGGAAGTTCGTATAGTCTCTCTATAACGGAACACGATGGTTTAAACTGTTCATAGTCGTCTCAATTGAAAATAAAATCATCATCCTCAGGATTTTAATTTACATCTGTCCCGGCTTCTCAGTTGCGTGTTTTTGAATGGCTTCTTTGGGGAATTTGACACGGCCAGAGAATATCAAGGACATTGTGGAGATATGTCTTAAACACACTTTCCGTTGTGTAACTTACATAGCATGACATACTGTTGGTTGCTAAAAAATACATTGTTGCACACATATCCCTCGTTCTACATTCACTTGTTATTGAGTTAACTGAAGCCTGAATCGAATATTATCTACATTTATAGACTGATTGGGGATATATCATACCTTATATTGGATTATATTATTGGAGAGTCATCAACTTGGTTGGAATCATCAAACATTTATAATTGTGGATTTTCAGCACCAGACCAAATCCGAACACGCATCAATTTGGTGAATTTAAGTAAAGTCCCTATTTCCTATTGTATTTGTAATAATTAGCTTATATACATTAACATTACTTTTGATCTTAAATAACTTTGTTAATATTTTTCACGCTCGCACATAGTCTGGTGAGCCTTGAATCCGTTATAGACGTTATACTGTTTACATTTTTTTACTCGATACACTGGTCTATTTTGTTTTTCATACCCTTTACTCTCCCAATAAACTTATCGATATGGATAGCCCACCAACGAATCCTCTCAATTCATCACACTCAGGCGATAACATTTTAAGCTTAATCAATACTATTTCCGAGTTAAGACTACCGACATACGGCGTTAATAACCCTAGAATTTGGTTCGCACAAGTAGAAGCACAATTTTTTGGCGAGAGGTATACGCTCTCAAGCGACACAGGAGCAGAAATCAGCATTATCCCGAAGACAACAAGCACAAAGCTGTCTCTCATAGCGGCTAACGATTCAATCGTCAAAACATATGGAGAACAATCACTCATATTAGACCTCGGTCCCCGCAGAAGGTTTACGTGAGTGTTTATCGTAGCTCAGGTCAAACAACCCATTCTCGGAGCCGACTTCCTCAGTGCTTACAACCTACTAGTAGATATGGGCAACAAGAAATCAATTGACAAGAAAACGAATTTACAGGTCATTAGTACAATCGCCTCCAACTACGACATTCATGGAGTTCGAATGATAAAACCTGTGAACAACATCTTCAACGATATTTTGTCGAAATTTGAGTGCATCACCAGGGTGGATTATCGAAACGAATGCACCACCCACCATGTACATCACATTACTACCACAGACCCCCAATACGTGCCGGGTCAAGAAGACTGCCTCCACATAAGCTAACAATTACTAAACGAGAATTTGAGCACACGATGCAACTAGGCATCATTAGGCAGTCTAGCAGCCCATTGGGCTTCCCCACTATACATGGTTCTGAAGAAGGATCAAGATTGGCTCCCCTGTGGAGACTACCGCCGTTTAAACAACCTGACTACTCCGGATCGATACCCATCCCTCATTTACACGACTTCTCGTTGAACCTACATGGAAAACGGATTTTTTTCGAAGTAAGACCTAGTTCGAGCATATCATCAAATACCGATGGCACCTGAGGATATTGAAAAACAGCTATAATCACACCTTTTGGTTTGTTTGAATTCTTGAGGATGCTTTTCGGAATAAAAAACGCTTCTCAAACCTTCCAGAGGTTCATGGACGAAGTAACCGGAGGTTTGGATTTTGTATGTCTATTTATCGTGGTACGTTCGAAGTTTGCATTACGATAACACGGTATCTATTTTATATTGTTTGAATATCGTTGAATCCTAGTTTACAACTCATAAATAGCTTTAAAATCTATACTTAAAGCGGTATGGGTCGACTGTCAAAAAAACGGGTCCGGAAAAGCCCTAATACTTCAGATAATAACAATTCTGTTATTACCTGTTCCCCATGCTCTGCTACTCTTTTTGATGCTGATTATGTTGAGAGTGGTCTTACACCACGCCTGCTGCTGAATGACTCTGTCTCTAATTTAATAATGAGTTCCACTTCAAGATCAAAAAGTATCGATAATATTAAGAGTGAATTAAACACTATTTTTAAGCAACTACACGACATGCGTTCTAAAGTTGAGTCACTTGCTAGCTCTTTATTAAAACATGATAAGCTGAAACAAGAAATAAAGACACTATCATCCGTTAAGCTGCTTCTATCAAAAGATATCGTTCCTGCGGAACTTGATGACATTATAAAAGCAGAATCTGTTATCGACTTTATCGCTAATGAAGTTACCAAGCGAATAGTCTCTTGTAATAACGTTATTGTCTATAATATACCTGACAGAATCCCCATTAAAACTGTAAGGAATTCGATATTAAAAGCATCTAACCAATGCCAATGCATTCAACTTGATAAAAATCACCAGAAATACTCGTGCCCGGTCTTGTTCAGATTCGACTCTCATATATTAGCTGAACAGTTAAAAGAATCCGAGCGGCTAATCTGCGCGCTTACGAAATTTAGAAACGCTCGTATAGTCCCAGATAAGACCACCAATCATAGGCTTACGCAGAAACTTACCTTGAACGAAAATAAAGGTGTTGAGATCATAACAAACCACGATGCATCAGCTGCTGGATCCACTGATGCAGCTACCCTATCTCATGTTCTCCAGTACTCTGATATACAAACGAAGAGTGCTAATTTGCCTGTTATGTCTGTAGTGACATCTGATAGCCAATGTACATCTAATGACGTCACTAATCGGATATTACCCAGTTTACCATTAGAAGCCCATAAGCAAGTACTTAGTTCTAATGCTACAACTCTTAAAAACACTGTCAAGATTAAAAAACCTATGCCACGTAAGAAGAATGTAAGTACAGAACCTTCTGGTTCTAGACCCAATATCAAAAATATTATGATGACCCCACTAAATAAAAATAAGACTGTACTTCCCGACACCATGATTTACTTACGCATCGTAGGGGAGGTTATAAGAGCAGACTTGACTCAAATGTCTCACAAGATGGCCACTGCAATCATTACGTAAGCAGGCATAATGTTGGACAGACCACAATGAACCAACGCACCCTACAGTTATCCTCAAACGTTTTAAATAACATACCTGTAAGACGTAACTATTCTCAGCACTTTCCCGTTGGGCAAGATGGATTACTAGGTTACTCAACATCAAACGTTTTAAATAATAAACCTGTAAGACGTAACTATTCTCAGCACATTCCCATTGGGCAAGATGGATTACTGGTTTACTCACCATCAACCCAACCCCAACTGGCAGATGCCTGTCTTAACTGTCTGCCTAGTCAAGTTCAAAAATTTAATCCACTTTATCAAAATAATGATTTTTTTGGCCTTCAGAAATCCCTGGTCCTACTAGCAATACAGTTTGTTCAAGCGATAGCCCATACGATCAGTCAAACATAATAAACCACAGTCTATGCAAATCCAAACTACATAACATCAATA